AGTAAGTAAACTTCTCCTCACCCAAACAGTATGGTTTCAGGAAGGGTCACTCATGTATAACCAACCTGCTGACCGCGGTGGACAGATGGACAAGCACCCTTGATCGCAAGAGGAAGGTTGATATCATTTACGTTGATTTCTCAATGACGTTTGATAGGGTCAACCATACATGTCTTATCAATAAGCTCCAATGACTGGGTATCAGACTACCTCTAATTGATTGGCTCATTTCATGTCCCAGGGTTAACTTCACTTTGTCTCAGGCAATGGAATGTCGTAGTTGGGTCCCCCAGGGCTCAGTACTAAAACTTCTTCTCCCCTTGATTTATATAAATCATCTCCCACAACAGGAATCGTCTGACTTATTACTTTTTGATGATGATCTGAAACTATGGAGAGAGAGATGCGAGCCAAGATAATATACTGGCACTTCAGGAGAATCTGATTCGTCTTCAAAGCTGGGCAGATGTCGATGGACTTACCTTTAACACATCAAAGTGTAAAATAGTCCATCTGCGACATGTTGCAGACTACAGTTACAACTTAGGAAACTTCGCTCTAGAAGTATCTCAATCCGAAAAAGATTTGGGAGTGTTGGCGCCCTACGATTTGAAGTCATACGCTAACTGTGACAAAAATGCCTTTTGAGCAAACCTCGCACTGGTAATATTGAAGCGCATTTTCGGCCAGTTTGACTGAAGAACTTTCCACATAATCTTCAACAGTTTTATCCGTCCTTATTTAGAGTACGGAAACATAGTATGTCCTCCCTCACTCCAAAAGCATAAATACACTCTGGAGGGTATGCAACGGCGAGCCACGAAAGTAGTTCGGGGACTAAAATTCAAGCTTTATGAAGAGCACCTCCTTTCACCCAACCTTTACCCATTAGAGTATATGCGTATTAGAGGTGACCTTCTAATGGCTTACAGTATCCTTAACACTTCTGGACGTCCCCTTAAACACTTACTTAAGCTTAGTCCCAATACGAACCTAAGGAGTAACACCCAGAAATCGGAGATACAACATAGCTGAACGGACAGCAGACACGACTTCTACTTCCTAAGGGTCGTCAAATGCTGGAATTCGCTGCCGATTGAACTAGTCCAAGCGACTTTGCAGAAGTCTTTTAAGAGTAAACTTGACCTATTGTTAATGACAGTCTTCAGTAATAAAGATATTAGGTTGGTGAACCTGTGTTAATCCTAACAGATTGCCTTCTAGTGAAGGTCCAGTTTCTCCTTGAAAATATTCCCTGATGGGGCTGATACCACTTGTTCGTGCAAGGCGTTCCAATCATTGACGACTCAACGAGCAAAACGGAACTCCACTTTAAGTTATTAGATCGCGGTTTATGAACCTTCTTGCTATAACCTCGGAGATTATTAGTGCTGGAGGGAGCAAAAAATCAGACATAATAACACTCAAATCATAATTACAGATACGAAATTCCAGTATAAGGTCACCTCGAGTCCTACGATACGACAAGGTGAAAGGGTTTAGGCGTTTTAAACGCTCATCGTAAGGGAGTTTAGAAAGACCCTTCACTAATTTTGTTAAAGTGAGTTAGTATCCTTTACCAGACATGAGCTAGCTGCTTGGATACAGTACTCTAAATGTGGTCTTAAATAGGTGGGATATAAAATTCGAAACATTTCCTCGTCAAAGTATTTGAATACTCGGCAAAGTGACCATGATGCACGAAAACATTTGAGAGCGGCTGCAATGCAGTGCGTAGTTGTTTTTAGGTCATGAGTTATTATTACTCCTAAGTTTTTATGTTCTCGAACGCATGGAAGAAGTTTACCATCAATAGTATAATAGTAACTATTGCCGTGACCGATGTGCATTAGCACACTCTTCCTAGAATTGATTTCTAAGCCCCAACCTCGAGCCAATCTAACTAAATCGTCGAAGTCAGCTTGAAGATTCAGATGATCGGCCTCACTATTTATTGTTCTCCAGATGGTGCCTTGGGGTACACCACTTTTGCCCGGCTTTCAATCAGATAGCGTCCCATTGACCCTCACTCTCTGTCTGCGGTCACATAAGAAGTTTCCTATCCACTCATGTACATTACCTATTATTCCGAAGCTAGCGAGCTTCTGCATGAGACCTAAGTGTGAAACCTTGTCAAATGCTTTGCTAAAATCTATGAATATCGCATTGACAGACAGATCTTTATCTAAGGCTTCTGTCCAATCCTCTTGCGCATTAAGTAAGTTAGTCAAGCATGAACGCGTGTCACGAAATCCATGTTGCTCAAAAGCTAACAGATTGTGTGAATCTATTTGGCTTAGCAACCTAACCCGAATTATCTTGTCAAGTAACTTAACGACAATGCTAGTTAGACTGACAGGCCGGTAGTTAGATATGATCTGTCTCTGACCATCCTTAAATATAGGACTGACTATAACGAGTGAAAGAGACATGTTGAAGAGTTTCGCTAGCGGTTTTGAAATAATGTTCATAAGAGATGACAGCAGCCGTGGATGTAACCCGTCAGGACCAGGTATCTAAGGATAACTAAGGATAACACCTTATTACGATTTACCAATTTTTTACCCTCTATTATCGTTAATATACCTAGGTTTCTGCCTGGAGGCATCGGTGATCCACTGCTACTAGAGATGGAAGCCCGTTAAGCGAAAGTTTCTTCTACTCCGTCCACAACCATTTGAACCATTTGAACAGGTAACTTGATATATTCTTAAGGACGGTATATCACTATAATTTGTATTATTTTTCTTTTGATCTCTAAAAATATCTAGGTTCTTACCTGGATACATCGCTGATCCTCTGCTACTGAATACGGAAGCCTGTCAAGCAGAAGCTTCTATTCCGTCGATATCCGTTTGAACTGTTTGAGCATTTGGTACCGCTGCTTACAAGTGCCGTGCTACAGAGCACGGTGAGTATACTTGTGTTGTTTTGGTCGAGAACGTTGGTGTCGGAGAATCTTCTTGACAAATCGAGTCTACGTTTTCGCGTGGGAATTCCTATCTTCTGTGGTAGTGTTTGATCAGATGTATCTTTCACAATAGTTAATTACGTTTTGATTAATTAGACCAACAGGAGCGAGCCATCGTACTGCCTCAATGATAGAATCTCGTATTTTAAAGGGCGAATGACTGAAAACTGTAGTTAGAGTTTCATTGGATTTATCGCCTTTAAGGTAAAAATACATCTAACTGGTAGGTCCGGGAATAACTCAGTTCTGAATGTTTAGTCATTTATAATGATGGATTGTACTGATTGTGGATAGTTCAATGAAGAGTTAAGTGCGACAGTAGCGTGATACAATCATAAGTTTGCTTAGTATTTTATTCTTTAGACTAATCCAACAACGATGAGGTTGAATTACAACATTGGGTTACGAACAGAGTTACAGTTTTCATCACAAACTGAAATAAGCTATAATGCCAAAATGTTAGTTTGCCATGTAAACGAATATGTTTCGCGGCAACACATCGGCTGCTAACCTGTACTCTGCCGATTACTATTTTGTTCTTCCTTCCTTGAATCTTGCCAGGGCATCAATAGAGATCCATTCTTGATGATAGTGCTTCTTGAGGCCCAGAACCTCTTGGCATAGTGAATTCAATGCTTCATAAATCCATCTTCAGTTGTTCTCTATTGTGGTTTCCTTTTTGAGTAGATTTTGTAAGGCGTCGGACCTATTCCTGAGAACTGTCTTTAATTGACCTCGAAGGGAGGCTGTTCAAAATTTTTGTAATGCTGTTTATGCAGTTGCCCAATGCTTCTTTAGCTTCAGCTTCATCTTGGCGGCCACCAGGTGGTAGTCTAAAGCAGTCAGCTCCTCTCACGTTCTCCATAGATCTGAATTTGCACTGATGCAAATATGATCGGCCTGGTTCTGTGGTGTGATCCAGTGAAACCCGCGTAGCTTAGTGTTTACTTAAACACATAAATATTGGTACAAGGAGCCACACAAATCTCATTTGATTTGTATGAGGGCTGTGATACTGCCCGGGTGCCCGAACCGAAGCAGGTGGTTTTCTTAGGGGGCCCCCGAGCCTTCGACCTATAGGTCTGATCCACAAGACAGTGGAGCATCGTGAGGAGATGCAGTCTCATGGTAGCCGGTGACCAACGATTGGTTCATACGCTATTTGTTTCTTCAGGATACTGGAGCCCATGTGCACCATATAATTGGGATCCGGTTATAGCGCCGGACATTCGCTTTTCGTCCTCTCATTTTCGTAAACAACACCCCCGCCACGAGAAGGCAGTGAGTAGGACTTCCCTGGCAGAGGCTGTATACGCGTGGCCATGTGAAAGCATTTCGAGAGGGAGGGCGGACTCTCCACTCTCGGCCATACCAGGGCATTCGGGGGCCTAGCCTAGTGTATGTATCTGTGGGTAATGTTGTGCAACATAATCGTTTAGTTGAAGGCACATAAAATTGCAAATCTATCTTCATTCCTTTCTCCAAGACCATGTCGTCCCATGGTGTTGTTAATTCCGACTGGCGTTTGGGCCCCCAATCAAGATGGTGAAGTCCTTTTCTGGGAATTTCTCTAGGATCGACAGATCAGACTCTACTTAGTGCCAATTTAGGCATGACAAGTATTGCACTGTTCTTTGAACTTCAAGCATTTGTCACGAAAACTTGACAAATACTAGTATTCAGCCCACAGTCTTGTTTTAGTAATAAGTTGAAGCTTTTCTCATGAGATGCATCATATTGTATAACATTTATACTCTGGGAACTCAATTTGGGGATCATTTTTGTCTTTAATGTCATAGTCGTATCCATGCATTATTCACCTTTCAAACTGTTTCTTAGCTCCTTTTATTCACTTTAACACAATCTATTTCAGAGTTTCATATTGCTTCACGAACTAATTAGTAATAAAGTATACTTAAACCATCTGATGTTATCGTAGCTTGAATATAATTATTACTTTAGAAATAATGGAAACTATTCATAATATCATTGTTATTCCTATTATTGGTTTTAGGATTTGAGAAGGAAAATGGTTATTTTGTTTGTTTCACTGTTGTTTTTCCCGACAAGAATATTAACGCAGCACTCAGATACTGTGGTCGGCTGTGGTGGCTTTATAAGATGGAAAGAAGCTCATCCCGATTCTGTACTTGATTTCAAAAAGCTGAAAATAAGTCTGTTCTCAGAAACTACTAGCACATTAAAAGACGTAACCGATGTTCTCCCTAACGGAGCTTATTCCGTTCCGTTATATGATGAGGGTGTTTACAGAATTAGGTTAACTACTCCTGAAGGTTGGCATATTGAACCGTCGGATGGCTACCTTTTGGACCTCGAGAAAGATCCGAGAGCTTGTTTCAAAGATTTTGACTTCAGCATAGTTGGATTCTCAATTTTCGGGCAGGTAAGCTCTTGTTTCTCTTATCATTAACAACAACTATTTAGGTAACTACTTCCGGAATGAAGACTGGTCCACCTGGTTTATCAGTTCGATTAACTGACCCTACCTCTCATAAACCAATGCTTCATAATTCTACACAGAATCGAGGTTATTTTATGATATCTCCTGTGACTCCTGGTAACTATTTATTGACCGTCAGCAATCAAGATCGTAGTGATAAAGATCATACAAGAGCATCTATCAATATTAATGTCCAGTCAGATAGTATCAACTTGCCAGAACCAATCATTTTACTTGTAAGAATCTATTTTTATCGAATTATGTAAAGTGTGAGATAACTCAGGATACAAATCCCATCCATCATTTTAATAACCAAATTGTGCACATGGCAAATCAAAGCCATAATCGTCAAAAGTGTGATACAATTCACTCATCCACTCGGAAGCGGCTGATTAATTTTGTTGTTTTCTTACGTAACGAGATTTCAGTCATGCCACCTGTCATTGTTATACATTTGAATTTTAAGACTTGTAATAACATACTACTGAGGATTGTCAAAGTAATAGATGCATGGCTGAGCGATTGATGATATGAAGTGACATGGCTTAACTCAGTGATTGCCGTTCACATTACCGGATTATTTACTCAATCTTCCAAATGACCAGGTATCAAAAGAATAAATACCTGGCCAACAAAACAGTTTTTTTATACAACAAAATGACATATATAGGTAATAAAAGTAAACGTGAAATCAATTGAAACATGCCGAATGAAGAGTTAAAGACTCTGTAGGTCACTCAAGTAGCAGTTAAATTAAAACATGCTTGTCAAGTTTCACTCTTGCATAACATATCATTTAAGGTATGATCGTAATAGTAACTCAGTTTCTCCTTCGTAATCACGAAGTCTTTCGAACTTGTTGTTATACGGTTTTTAAAAATCTTTAGTCATATTAATACTGCTCTAAGGTTATACTTTATATATTGCAATATTTGAGGGTTGCTAAAACATACTGTGTTATTTATATCAAACACCAGTAAGCATCCACCTGAGTTACAGATTTCTATTTTTTCGAACATATACCCATAATGAAGATAGATAATAGCCGAAAGGATGGGTCCTTTGAAAAACATCACTATGTGTAGTCATTTTTAACACGTCCATCGGTATTCGAATAAAAAGGCTTCCTAAGTTTATGTAGGTCTTTGGTACACCTTTTAATTACAGACACTAAACCTCTCGGTTTATGCAGTCGGGTGCAGTTTTCAAATAAAATAATCTTACTTGTCAGTCGTCAGTAAATGTGCCTAGGTTCCGGAAGCTAATAGAGAGTGAATATTTTGAAACATCTGTGATTAGATCTGAAACCAGCCTGGTGTTCCAGGATTTGCTCTTAACGAGCCCTAGTTAAGCGTCAGATTATTAAAAACTAATATTTTCGACTAGATCAATTCCTGTGTGGTTATTAAAAATCATGGGGAAGGATTGATAATGGGAACTAAATAAATGTCAAAAAGTGAGAAAAAGTAAAAATGATTAACTTTAGTATTGCTAGATGCTGCTCACGTGGTTAGATTTATAAATTCATTTTGTTTGGAGTTTTAACTGCTTTGAACTCTTTTTCAGCCTATTTAGTTGGTGGTAGATTAGATCCTATCAAGGCTAAATAATGCCTTTTTCACATTACTTATTAATGGGAAGATAGTGTTTAACAATTAAGGAAGTATATAATTAGGGGTTCAGAGACGTCTCACCGTCTTGTAATTCCATTCATCAAGTTATTTTCCTCATGAAAATGATGAAAAGCATGATATTAAATACATCTTATTTTGTATCAAACATTTTGTTGAATATAGCTGCAAGATGGAAACAAATCCATGAACATATTTATTTCTTATCACTGTTAATTACTGATATGTTTATCTCTATACTTAGGGTCATTTTCTCCGTGGACGTGTGACAGACTTCAATCAGAATCCTTTGGTCGATGCAAAAGTTTTCCTGTTACATGATAAAGATAAGACATTGTCGAAATCCTCTACCACTCTAGACAAGTCAGTATATTCATATATAGTCGAAGCACTTGGTGAAATGCATTATAAATTTTTAACAATACAAGAGGTTAGAAAATGCTTTTTAAGTTCTTTTATTATTCATTTTTACTAAATTTATTTACAATGGTTGCTAGTTTCAACAATAAATCAAAGTAACTATCACATTCTTGTGAGTTAACATCAATTAGATGTTACAGCACTCTGAGAGTTGAGGACCTGGCAACCAATTGTTTGTCTGTGAAGATATCTGTTTACGCATGTTTTGATACCTTGTGTATCTTGGCTTAACAAACATCACAGTTACATCCAGATCACTAGTTGTTTTGGTGTCCTCAATTGTCATACTTCTTATAGTGACTATGATTATATTGCGTTTTTATTGTAGTCTTCAACAGACTCAGATGGCTCTTTTACGTTTGATCGTCTACCGGGCGGCAGTTATCTTCTTGTACCTTTATATACACCTAAGAAGTCCGGGGCCGTTTTCTCATTTACTCCGAAATTTCTCCCGATAGCAATGGAGCATACAGATGTGGATCTTGGGCTTGACACATTTACATTGCAAAGCTTCAAACTTAATCCAGGACGTATTATGTGGCCGAACGGTGTTCCAATATCATCAGCTAAAGTAAAGAAACTTTTTAAACACTGTGTTCGTAGTAAATATTTATCCAGAAACTTCTGTTCATTGCTTTTCTTTGTCCATGAATTTACGTTTAAAACAGTTAAGTCTTGGGCTATTATATGAAAGAAACAGTTGCACGTGAAGATATGTTGAACGTGGTTTGATATCAATAGTACTGATGTTGATTAATGTTTGTCATGATGTTTGATTCATTTTCAAAATATTGGGAAATCTGTATTCGGAAATTTATATTGTATTTATCGGTTTAGGTTTCATTTGAAACTACGTTAGGACTTATTCTAATTAGCAGGAAATCGTTTCACTTCACTTAACTGTGGGATTCGGAAACAAAGAAAATTATATTTTTGGAAAAATAAAATTGTATTTTTCCTACGTAAAAAGGTCAACAGAGTAGTTGTTAAATCTTATTTTGTTGCCTTAACATGAGGATATTTAAAAATCTTACTTTAGGATGTAAAATCTATAGTTTTTACTTACGCGAACTCAAAAGTTTGCTACGTACAAAATTACTGTAAGATTCTTCACTTTGAATCTCAGTCAGTCAGTCAATCAGCTGCAACGTAGGACCAGGCACATATATGTATCGGTCCAAGTTACCATACCACATTAGCACATGATGAACACCGGATTCATAGAAGTGGTTAATCCAGTGGTAGTAATATATAAAAGAAAATTGCATACAAGGAGATAGTACAGGAAGAAAGAATTAGTTCGTAGAAAGAAATATTTGAAGTGATTCTAATCTCTTAGTTTAAAGGAAGATAGAGAGTGTATACACCGACGCCATTGTGATCGATTCTGAGCCATGTCACCAAGAGTCTCCAACCATTGGTTACGATAGTCACGTGGACCCCAACCAAGTAGTCTGCATCTACCAACATGGCTCAAACCAGAAGTTAGTGACTTCAAGCACTGATGCCACGTTTTGGTTTGGCCGCCCCTAACTTCCTTCCAATCATCCCTAACATCGGTTAGCATTGCGCGTCGTGGTAATCGGTGTTCAGGCATACGCAACACGTGGCCCAACCATCTCAGTCGATGAATATTCATAACCTTATCAACTGACTTACCATCATTCCCTAATACCCTGCGTCTAACCTCACTATTACTTACCCGGTGATCCCAGCAGATACCCGCAATATTTCTAAGGCACCTGTGGTCAAATATTAGTAACTTACGAGTATCTTCTACTCTTAATGGCCATGTTTTGCAGCCGTATAGTAGGACGGAGCGAACTGCCGCGCAGTATACTCGCCCCTTAATTGATAGACGGATATCTCGCACTCGCCATAGATGACGTAAGTTGGCAAAGGCCGAACGAGCTTTTCGAATCCGTGCCGAGATTTCGTCAGACACCAACCCATTAGGGCTGATCAGACTTCCAAGATAAGTGAAGTTGTCAACGCGTCCGACTACTTCATTCCCTATCCTAAGTTCAGGTGTTGACGCAGACCAGTCCTGAAGCAAAAACGTGCATTTAGACGGAGAGAAGCGCATCCCAAACATTCTGGCATTGTTGCTCAGTGCTATCAAAAAACTCTATTTTATTTATTTATTTTATTTGAACACAAATATTGGTACAAGGGGGCACTAAATATGTATGCGCCACACAAAACAATGATAATTTGAAGAGAAAGGAAAAAAAGAAGACAGAGAGAACAATAATGGGGGTAACAGAAAGGTACAATCAGAAGAAATCTTACATTTAAGGAGGATGCAGCCACTTTTTTGAAGAAAGTAAAAGAAGGTTACAGCAGGATCGCCATTGGCTTCTATTCTGAGCCATATCTGATAACGTCTCTAGCCACTGTGTTACACCATCTCTCGGACCCCAGCCAGGCAGTCGTGAAGGACCAACAGAAGCCAGCCCTTTGTAGCTTTCTTTCATACCACGACACCATGTTATATACTGACCACCTCTCCGCTTTTTCCAACCAGTCCCAGAGTCGGCAAATACTGCACGACGAGGAATTCTCTGGGACGACAATCAAAAGACTCTGCATTTTATCAGCGTATTCACCAAACAGGACTATGTCATCTGCGTATTCTAAGTCGATAAGTGGACCTCCTGGTAGGAGATCAATGCCCGAAAATTCACTCTATGAGAGCGTTATTTCCATCAGTAGATCTATGATGATCACTTTGAATCTCTCAGTTTACTATTAAATTCTATCTAATTAAAACATCCTGAAATAGTTTTTGTGAAGCGCTTTTGCGGAATCCTTGGTTGCTCAATAGTCTTTTTTACATTTGTTTATGTGGTTATTAACGTCAGTCCGTCAGTTTCAACGTTGGATCTGGTACGTATGTTCATCGGTTCAGGATGCCATACCCCATTAGCACAGGGAGATGAAACTGTACAAGATATGACTCAAGAAAATATAAGTTAGTGAAATAGAAACAAAAAAGGGTCATCAGAAGTTCAGAATTTGTTGGAAGAAAAGAATGGAAGCACCTTCGTCATTGCAAACTATTTTGAGTCATATCAAAGTTTTTGACTATTATATTAACGTAAATATTTTGTGATTGTAAATATTTAAAAATTGGCATATAAACTCCTTCATACTCGTATTTTCGCTATATAGTATAAATATTATGGTCACTATTATCCATATTTATACATTTCTAAACTATGCACTATTAAATTCCTTGTCTTAGTTCATAATGGCTGAGTTAAAATTTTAAAAACAATTGTCACTAGTTATTTTTATGTTCTTGCAATATAATATTTCATAAACTTATCATACCATCTCTTAATAATTTTTACATCTAGATTACAATTACTACTAGTACATCACAACAATCTGTATTAACAGATGGTAATGGGTTTTATCAATTGAATCACATAACTGCAGGAGACTATAAATTTCAGGTATATTTTGATTACTTATTATTATGATGATAACAGTTTTAGTGTATACACATTGTGAATTTAATATCATCTTTACAAATAATTATTTTGTTTAGAATTATGTTTCTTCTTGTGTAGTGTTACAGAGTATAAACTGTTTGAAGAAGAAATGGATCACAACAATTGGTTTTCTCAGTAGTAATCGTTTAAGCTATATGTACGAAAAGTAATTGTAAAATTAATGGTAACTACCTAGTATGGGAGTTATTGGTGAAATGAGAGAAATATTATAAGTCGGATATTTGAATGAATTCGCGTACTATCTGACACACATTAACAGAATTCCACTTTTCAGAAACAGAATCTCAAGTGTTTAATTCCGTATTTTTTCTTACTATATCTATTCTTAAAATCCCATTTGGGAATCTAAAACATATCAAATCAACCAAATTGGGTTCGAAACATTAACACGTTAACATTTGTCAAGAATCTCTGTGTCACATATCAACTTGAATTCAGAAGAAGGAAGTTCTCACTCAATAGTCTGAAGAGATGGCGCTCTTTGCAAGACGCGGGGTTCTTAGTTCGGTCTTATGTTGGGAGTGTGCAAAGTTAATTTAACACGTATAGTTTTCTGTCCCTGTTTATGTTACTTCCATTCGCTGTTTTAGTCGAAATAAAGCATGGCTTAGGTGGTAGTTATCAACAGTATTAACAGTTCATATCGTTTTTATACAAGTTTCAAATTTTGATGTTTATCTAGAGATAAGGTGTGTAATTCAAGGTTTCCGTACAATGCAATTTAAACACTATATTGTTTATCGATTGTCTGATATCGTCATGGTGTTGGTAATCCATTTATTTATTTATTTGAGCACATAAATATTTGTACAGGGGGGCACCAAATATATATGCGCCACGCAAAACAATGCGAATTTAAGAAGGAAAAAAAAGTAAGGAACGTAGGGAATTATAAAAAAAAGAGAACAATAATGGGGGAACAAAAAGGTACAATCAGAAGAAATCTTACATTTAAGGAGGATACAGCCACTTTTTATGAAGAAAGTAAAAGAAGGTTACAGCAGGATCGCCATTGGCTTCTATTCTGAGCCATATCTGATAACGTCTCTAGCCACTGTGTTACACCATCTCTCGGACCCCAGCCAGGCAGTCGTGAAGGACCAACAGAAGCCAGCCCTTTGTAGCTTTCTTTCATACCACGACACCATGTTATATACTGACCACCTCTCCGCTTTTTCCAACCAGTCCCAGAGTCGGCAAATAATGCACGACGAGGAATTCCCTGGGACGGCATTCGTAGAATATGTCCAAGCCTCCGAAGTCGGTGTTTCAAGATGGTGACACCAATTGGATTGTCGTCTCTGTGTCCGAACACACGATGCCGAACCTCTGCATTACTGACATGGTGTTGCCACTGGATGTCAGCAATCCTTCGGAGACAGCGATGATCAAACACAGAGAGTCGTCTAACATCCTAACTCGGAGAGGACAGGTTTCACAAGCATAGAGCAAAACCGACGCGTTGTAGATCCGACCTTTTGTAGCCAGACTAAAATCACGAAGGCGCCAAGGATGGACCGACGTGGCATTAGCCGCTCTGACTTTCATTATACGTGCATTGATCTCATCACACACGCCATCACCAGCACTTATGCAGCTACCTAGATACACGAACTTCTCGACTACTTCTATCTGCTCACCATCCAGAGTGAGTACAGGATTAGAATCCTGCCAGTCTTGTAGAAGTACTTTGCACTTCGAAGGTGCAAAGCACATACCATACCTACGGACATTTATTGCCAACTGATTAAGTGCGGATTGCATAGCTCGGGCATTCTCGCACAGTAAGACAATATCATCCGCATACTCAAGGTCGAGAAGTCATTCTTTAGGCAACAGATCCACACCGCCATTACTTATATCCATCAGAGCTGTTTCCAGAATGTAATCGATGGCAAAGTTGAAGAGGAATGGTGAGATTGGGCAACCCTACCTAATCCCACTGCTTGAATGGAATAATGGAGAAAGGTGGTTGTATGCCCTCACTCTGCCTGAGGTGTTTGTGTATAGGGCTTTTAGGATGTTAATAAACTTCTCAGGCACACCCTTCCTCAATAGACAATCCGAGAGAACAGTCCTGTCCAACGAATCGAAGGCAACCCTGATGTCAAGAAACACTACGATTGTTGGCCTTTGATAAGTATGGCGGTGTTCTAACATTTGGCGGAGGGTGAAGATATGATCAATGCATCCTCGACCAGAACGAAACCCAGCCTGCTCCTCACGAGTCAATCTTTCTAGGGTTTTGAACAACCTACGAAGTATAACGGAAGCCAATAGCTTGGACGCGATCGGAAGTAGACTTATCTCCCGATAGTTGTTACGGGAACGACGTGAACCCTTTTTAGAGATAGGGACAACTATCAACTCATTCCATGACGTTGGTACACCATACCACGTTGAAAGCACCGGTTCTCGTCTGGTAATCCGTTTGCCAGAACATTTATTCTTTCTGTGTTTTATTGCTTGAAATATCAGGCTTTGGAAACGATATTTTCTTTAAGATCTTGTAACTTGGTTAGAAATCAACTTACATGTACAATTAACGATATCTCTTATAGCTTTCAGTTGGTCTTTAAAAAAAGAAATATTAATATCATAATAAAATGTATTCCATTTCATTTGTATTTCGTTCCAATCCTATTAATCATAGGTCGAAGTAGTAAACGCTTTCTTTGAAACTCGTTCAATAAATCTAAATCACTTACTAGAATCTCTTCCCAACTTAGTTCCTGACAAGGTTTCTGTATGTGGAAACTTGATCCCAGCTGATACATCATCAGATTTAAAAGTAAGAATACGATCCAACTATGAGTAATTTTTTAAATTATTTTAAATTGTTTACTTAGTACTACTGTGTTGTATGGTACTTGTATGGATTCAAAGTAGGATTTTTACTGACAGAAGAGGAACATGCATTGTTTTCATATTTTGCAAATATAGTGTGTGATTTTGTTGAATAAAAATTGGTTTACCCTACCCGAGTCTTCGTTCATTACAGTAGTCATATCATTTATGATTTTTTTTGTAAATAACTAATCTCTCATTGACTTATCAATTCCATCACATTATTTGAGTTTGTCTTATAAACTGTTTCTGTTTTGCAAAACAATGTTCACTAAAAATTGTGTTTAGCAAATATTCAGTGGTGGTCATAAGTAGATTTACTTTCTTCAGTAGTTAGTAGCGAGATATTTCTCCAAAAGATCTGTCTGCTAAAAAGCGTCATATAAACTCAGCTCCCCAATGCCGTGGTACGGTCTAGGGTGAGGATGTTCTTTGCAAAATTAAAAGTGAATGTTCGCCGCTTAAAGAATTGGGAAAACGTGATTCCAAACCAACGGTGCACATTAGCTTCAAAATCCTGAGGGAAAAAATGATGTATAAATCTATCGTTGATCACCGACTACCACGGGACTGCATCTGACATCACTCCATCGCCTTGTGCACTAGACATCTAAGTTAAAGTCCTGGTGACTGGCCTCCTCAAAAAACCACTTGTTTCGGTTTGAGCACCCGGACAGTACTCTAGCTCACATACAAATTTAGTGATAACTATTTTGTGTAGGGCATATATATTTTGATACTCCTCTGTGCTTATGTTTGTGTTTAGATAAATAAATAAAGTTTAGGTAGATTCCTACATCACAATGCATTTCGATTCTCTCACATCAGCCTTATAAAACACTTGATTTTCTGGAAATGTGTCATGGTAGCTAGAGGTTTTGATTCTCAACTACTAAGTTGGATATTTAAAGTTCTTATGTACCTATTACAGTTTGAATAAGCCAAACGGTATCAATACCTTTCTCATGAGAAGTGTGACTTAAAGCTGAGTACATAAGGTTGTACTTGGAAAATAAGTTACGGTAACTTATATCAGGCCTGACCGTTGTTGCTACCTTGACGTGGTGGTCGGGCTTGCCTATCGTGATGAAGCAACTGAGCTATACTGGCTGGAACAACCGTTCCTCAAGGTCCTACCATGCCAGACAGGTCGGTTGAAGAGCGGTAAGAGTAAAAGCAACAAAACCAAGGTCCGAAGGTGAAGTCGTACTGCTGACAGTACAGAGGTGTGACAGCAGTAAGGTGTTTCCTTCAGACAACCAGCATAACAGTGATGCTGCCTTCCCACAAGGAGGGGTGGGGTTAGAAAAGGTCGACCCTAAATATACACACCTCGCCTTATCCCACGGATATCTGTCTCCGGTGGTAAGGTCTCAACAAGTGCGGAGCTAACACAAAAATTACTCATAAAAAGGTCGTGTGTGACCGACCTCAAGCAGCTGTCCCTTGGGCACTGCACTGCGGTCACGCTCTCAGGTCACTATGACCACCTCTAATGTAATTTCCTTTTCAGGTACCTCCAGCAGAACCCTTCCACGGTGTGGGCAACCGGGAAATGATAATCGCCCTCATACTTCTAACAGCACTCAAGACCACTGTATTCATAATCAACCTCCCTCTTCCATTCCTATTATTCCTCCTACATCGACTTTCAACACTAAACTTCCTCTTTTGGTTTCCTCCTCAAGTGTCACCATGGCTAACGATTCCAGTGCGCAAAACACTGTCCCAGGTCTAGTGAAACCTCGCTCCAAACTACACATTGGAGCCTTCAACGTACGCACACTATGCCGAATCGGTCAACAGGCTTACTTGGCTAAAACCTTGGAATCTCGTACAATTGATGTATGCTGTGTCTCTGAAACACGCATACAGGATCCTAGTGTGGTCATTCACTTGACCTTACCTCGGCGAAACGGAGTGCGGACGAGATACATCCTCCGTGTATCTGGCGACCCGATGGCTAGTTCTCGTGGACTGGCAGGTGTAGGCATAGCACTAAGCATGAGGGCGGAACAAGCGCTATTAGAGTAGATCCCCGTTAACAGTTGTCTATGCGCTGTTCGGCTAAACGGCTCCGTAAGAACTCGGAAGGATAGGGACACACGTCGTTGCCTTTTCGTCGTTTCTGCCTACGCTCCCACTGACTGCAGTTCGGATGAAGTGAAAGATGAATTTTACAGAAAACTCTCTGAACTTCTTCAGAAAGCTAAACATTCAGACATAGTACTCGTAGCAGGCGACTTTAATGCCCAAGTAGGTAGCTTAAACCAAACAGAAAGACATTTAGGTGGGTATTTTAGTATTCCGGCACAGCGAACAGATAATGGTGATCGTCTGCTGCAACTGTGCTCATACAATCGTTTGTTTTTAGCAAACACAAATTTTAAGTATAAGGAGAGATATCGTCTAACATGAAGACCCTCTGCACCAAACCAACGATGAACTCAAATAGGCCATATTGCCATCAGTCATCGTTGGAGAGGCTTGATAGTAGATTGTCGCTCATTCTGGAATACCTGCTTGGACTCTGACCATGCCCTAATACGAGCACGCATCTGCTTGCGCCTCACTGGACGCAAAAGAGCCACACAAAAAAGACTCATTAGAACCGAATTGAGTAATGAGAAGGCCAAAAGTAGGTTCCAGGAACAACTGAGGTCACACTTAGGTAGTTCTGAAAACGAGGCTGACCCCGATGTTGCTTGGAAAGACATACAAGCAGCTGTGACATCTACTAGTGATTTAAACCACAGGGTTACAAAGAACCAATGGATTTCTTAAAGGTCTATTACACTGATAGATTCTCGTAAACTCATCCCATCAGGTTCTGAACACGATGAAGAGCGTAAGCAAATCAGATCTAGGTTAAGCAAAAGTCTAAGGAACGACCGTGAGCAGTGGTGGGAAACAAAAGCAAAAGAGATGGAAAAGGCGGCGGCTATAGGGAACACAAGACAACTCTACAGACTAATAAAAGAAACTGGAATTAATAAGTCAAGTGTAAGTCAGACTATTTCGGAAAAAAACGACACTCTCATCTGCTCCCGGTCCAGACGTTTAGAATGATGGCGGAACACTTGAAGGAGCAGTTTAGCTGGCCTTCAGCTACTCTACAACTACCCTCTATTCCCAGACAGTGTGAATGGAACATTGAAGTAGGTCCCCCGACTCTAGCTGAAGTTCAAAAGGCTAAAGCTAATCTGAGACGAGGAAGGGCAGCAGGTCCAGATGGATTGGCTCCAGAGGTCTTTAAGGATGGTCGTCTAGTTTTAGCGATTAGGTTGACTAATATTTTAGCTAAAATCTGGGAGTTAGACGTTATCCCATCTAACTGGTCACAATCACTTATCGTCCCAATATTTAAGAAAGGGTGAAAATCATCCTGTGACAACCACAGAGGGATTAGTTTGACTAATATAATATCTAAAATACTAGCTTAGATAATTTTCGGACCACTAACTAAGACTCGTGAACTGCAAACACGTGAAAACAGGCTGGCTTCAGACCTGGTCGTGGCTGCATCGACCACATATTCACCATTCGTCAGGTTTTAGAACACAGGCATACTTATCAGCGTCGGACAATGGTGGTTTTGCTTGATCTAAAAGCAGCGTTTGACTCTGTTGACCGAGAGGTTCTATGGCAGTGTCTGTCATTGAAAGGCGTACCTCAGAAGTACATAAACCTTGTGAAGGCTCTTTACTCGAACACTACTAGTCGAGTCAGAGCTTATGGCGAACTGTCATCTGCTTTCTCAACCTCAAGTGGCGTCCGCCAAGGCTGTCCACTTTCTCCATTTTTGTTTAACTTCATCATAGATCTACTAATGGAAATAACGCTCTTATCGACTGAATTCTTGGGTATAGATCTCCTACGAGGAGGTGCACTTATTGACTTAGAATACGCAGATGACATAGTCCTGTTTGGTGAAGACGCTGATAAAATGCAGAGTCTTTCGGTAGCACTGAGCAACAATGCCAGAATGTTTGGGATGCACTTCTCTCCGTCTAAATGCACGTTTTTGCTTCAGGACTGGTCTGCGTCAACACCTGAACTTAGGATAGGGAATGAAGTAGTCGAACGCGTTGACAACTTCACTTATCTTGGAAGTCTGATCAGCCCTAATGGGTTGGTGTCTGACGAAATCTCGGCACGGATTCGAAAAGCTCGTTCGGCCTTTGCCAACTTACGTCATCTATGGCGAGTGCGAGATATCCGTCTATCAATTAAGGGGCGAGTATACTGCGCGGCAGTTCGCTCCGTCCTACTATACGGCTGCAAAACATGGCCATTAAGAGTAGAAGATACTCGTAAGTTACTAATATTTGACCACAGGTGCCTTAGAAATATTGCGGGTATCTGCTGGGATCACCGGGTAAGTAATAGTGAGGTTAGACGCAGGGTATTAGGGAATGATGGTAAGTCAGTTGATAAGGTTATGAATATTCATCGACTGAGATGGTTGGGCCACGTGTTGCGTATGCCTGAACACCGATTACCACGACGCGCAATGCTAACCGATGTTAGGGATGATTGGAAGGAAGTTAGGGGCGGCCAAACCAAAACGTGGCATCAGTGCTTGAAGTCACTAACTTCTGGTTTGAGCCATGTTGGTAGATGCAGACTACTTGGTTGGGGTCCACGTGACTATCGTAACCAATGGTTGGAGACTCTTGGTGACATGGCTCAGAATCGATCACAATGGCGTCGGTGTATACACTCTCTATCTTCCTTTAAACTAAGAGATTAGAATCACTTCAAATATTTCTTTCTACGAACTAATTCTTTCTTCCTGTACTATCTCCTTGTATGCAATTTTCTTTTATATATTACTACCACTGGATTAACCACTTCTATGAATCCGGTGTTCATCATGTGCTAATGTGGTATGGTAACTTGGACCGATACATATATGTGCCTGGTCCTACGTTGCAGCTGACTGACTGAACTCATATCAGGGATAAAAATAAACTAATGTTTTAAATTGTATGACGAGAATTTCATCAAGTGTGTGTAATCATTGCGTTAATAAATAGCCTAATTTTCATCTTTATTCTTACAGCTTAAACTATACATCGTTGTTCGTAGTGTTGACAACAATTCTGAAATCAGTCGAGTTGAAACAAATCTAGAAGATGGGATATTTAAATTCTGTGCTTTTCTTAATCCTGAACGTTATTTATTGCATCCAGATGTTTCATTGTTTGGAGTAAATCAACATTCTAATAAAATACTGCGATTCACTCCTTCGGAAATAATGGTGCGTTACCATAAAACACCAAAGGGTTATTTAGTTTTCAGTGTTAATAACATTAATATTGTGCATTATCATTATATTCAGCCTCATAAGGATAACTTATGATTTCCGTACTTAATGGTCTTCACGATTGACTAAAGTAAAAATTTTCGGAATCATTCCATCTATAAATAGTCTTTTAGTTTTAATAGGAAATAAACAATCTCGCTCCACACTCTTTTATTTATAATATATTAGTAACTTTAAATGTTATATTACGTGGTAAAGAGATACAATCATGTTGTTAGCAGTGAGACTTTCAACGAAAATGATAAAATTATATTTTTTGTCATAAATGAAACTTAATTTGTAAAGTAACATGAATTTATTATATTTCATAGCTTCTTATCAGTTGTAAATAGCTTAAATTGACATTGGTACATCTAACTAACGTCTTGTAAATAGGACGAAACTCACGTCCTGAATTTCATTGTTAGCCACCTTTCAATAATACTTAAAATTCTTTTGACTTGATGGCAATATGAATGAGAATAAGTTGTTGGCAAATGGGTAATAATCAAAACATCCAGTTAATGTCGTAAGTAATTGTTAGTGGAATTTGTTTTTATTTTAAGCTATAAAATGCCTGTAAAGAGATGATTTAATCAATAAAGGTTAAAATAATATGATTATCTTATCATGGCAATGAGAGGTTTGCCGCACTTTATATCAATGGCCTTTGCAAAGAGGAACAAAAGTAATGTTCTCTGCTTGCTAGTTATTTTAGATGCCTTTGTGATGTCCATGTTGTGTCCACCACCCATTATATATCTAGTAATCGCATTTGTAAATACTTTGTGTTCATTTCCGATCTTAACTTGAATTTTTATGTCAACCGGGCGTTTTGTTAACAATTTCTTTTGACTCGCTATAACTTCATCCTCATTTTCATGAATTTATCTTCAACATATAAATACTAACCGGTCTCAACTGTTGTTAGACGTTGGTGCGCCAGATTGAAGGTCCTGGTTTTCGTTCCCGCGTGCGGTGTCGTGGATGCGCACTGCTGTGGCGTCCCATACTAGGATGAAACGACCGTTCAGTACTTTCAGGTTTTCAGTGGTGGTCTAAATCGATCGGTTCATGATTTAGATGAATCTTAACAATCTCCACAATTTTATACTGATATTGTTAAATATGTTGTTCGTACTAGAATCTGACTCTAATAAAGACCAATTGATGAACGCATAGAATACATTAATTTGGAATTATACGAACTTATTCTGACTAACTAACATCAACTCGCGTTAGCGAACATGTATTGTAGTGAACGAGAATACAGGCGGGTACAACCAAATGTGTTTTAATGCAACATAACAAAATATCGTGTTAAAAACTGAAAACCATACTGTTATACTTCATTTGCAAAGCATCCATCAATTGTATCGGATCTTACTGTTCCTTCGTTTCCACACCATTGATTCTCTGTTCTCGTTTTCTTCTCTTCGATCTTAACTCACTACCGCCATACATCTCACTTTCGACTGATGATACATACTACTTATATCTATCGACACCAGTAGCGCACACCCCAGTATAACATCCAATGTTAAAATGTACCAAACGGTATACTTGTATGTTTTCCTTGACTTTGTGACGTTTTTAACTGAATGACTAAATTACCATTAAATAATATATCCATCATAATATTATTTGTTTCCTCAATGTACAGGAAAGTTTTAAAATCGTGTGAAGATAGTGCTTTATCTAACTCAAGTAAATGTAATTAGTCTATACTTCAGTAAAATATGAAATTATCGACTTAAATCTTTCATCATATGCATCAGCTTTTATTTATTAATATTTTTCTATCGGATGTAGCTAATTCATATTTCATGCAAAAAAGGCATTCAAATAATATAATCTTTTACACCATAGAATGCTAATACAACATAAAGCTATTGTTTTAACATTTATTTTCTCTCTCTAGGTTGATCTAACTGGTTCTCCTGTAGTCAATGTAACATTTTCTCAGTTTCGTGCTAAATTGTTTGGGAGAATTAATTGTTTACTTCCATGCTCTTATTACAAGACACCGTTATATGCTCAATTGACTTTACTGCATTCAAATACAATTCAGCCAAAACTATATGAATTTATACCTAGTAAAGTAAGTGATAAGAACATTCTCACTAAAGTTTTATTGAGAATCTGAAATAAACAACTAAAATCACTCCGATTTGTTTGCCTGTTACTTAGTATTCACTGACCTACCTCGATAAGCAATACATAGGTAGCATAAAAGCAGATGCGTAGAAATATAAATGGAGAGATACTAAAAAACACCAAACACAAAGTCGTTGACCTCAAATGTGTTGAAAAAGAGCTTGGAATTCACGAAGCAGTCATAATTTATGGTTGGGAAAGGCTCGAAATTGGTCACGTTTTCCTGCATCAGTAAATTAATTTTCACTGAGCGATGGATTTTGCTGGTTGATTGCAGTAGTGACTTAGTGGTTAAAACATTCGACTTTCAGTCACCAAGTTTCAGATTCGTACGCCACTTCATCCATTTCGGCTTTGGTAGTGTGGCAGTATCATTATCCTAAAGGCTCATACTCAAGTGCCTGGTGATGAATGTGTTAATTAAGAAAATGGTCGATCTTTTATGCACCAAGTAAATAATTTTTATCGTTATACCATTGAGATTCATGGAAAGCCTTAGTTTTTTCTACAACATTTGGTTCGTTTCCCTTAATTGATGTCACATTCATTTGAAGCTTGTTGTTTTAAGATTTAACTGAAATAGTCACTAAATTCATGTACCGGTGAAATTACCACTGTTAATTGTATTGTCGTTCTGTTTTGTTACATAGACTGACTTGCATGTAGCTTTTTTCAAAGCTGAAGAGATGCTTCCAGGTGATTACGCTATTCAGGTTGTTTTCTATACGGGCTCTTCACTTACTACAATAGACAGTTGGTGCTGGGATCACCATGAAAAGACAGATAGTGGGGAATTTCAACCGCTTGAATCATCCAAGAGAATTCTTCATATACGTTCGGATGATTTACATTACGATAATGAATCAGCTCTTCGTTTTCGTCAAACCGGGTTTCTTATTCCAGTACAATTTGAATTACCGAATTATGTTACACGAGTGCCTAATGTGCTTTTGTTTGCTTCAAATTACCTCAAGGAGAATAATACGACAATTAAAAGTTCCATAATATGGAATTTAACTAAAACATGTAACAGAGTAAGTCAATGTTCGCACCTTAATTTCGTTTCTCTTCATACTTATATTTTTCTTCTTTTGTGTAATTTTAAGCAATACCCTTTCTTCAACTATAAGCTGTTCATTTGTTATATTCTATCGTCAATTATTGAAATTAATAATCTACTCAACCAGATTAAATACTCAGTATCATGCCGTTGTCTTGCAGTCATCTACTGTTCAAATTAGAGTTAGTAGAGATTTTTAGCTCAAGAACTTACAAAATCAACTGCGTACAAACTTTATTTAAGATGGAAAAAGCACACTGCAGCTCGGAAAAATGAAGAAACATATCCTTCAAAAGAACGCCTACTATCACAACTTCATAATATATTAACCCTACAGAAACCGACAAACGGATCATCCTACCATGCATAAAAGGCATATCAAGATTGTTGAAACCTTTCGGAATAGGTGTAGCACACAAATCAACAAAACCAAGGCAACCAATCCTATGCAAACCAAAAGACGAAATAACAAAAGCAGGAAATTCGAACACCATCTACAAAATAAATTGTTCCAATTGCGAAAAACACTACATCGGACAAGGCGGACACTCTCTTCATTTTCGCCTACATGAACGTCAACTAGCGGTCAAACGCCACAGCATATCCTCACTTATATCAATGCAAGTGGATAACTGTGGACATATATTTGACTGGGAAATTGATGAGATCTTGAATAAAGGCAATTCTAAAACACCGGAGAATTTTCAGAAGCTTGTCACTCAGGTCAATCAACAAACACATTGGAATCGATCCAATTTGTCAACCAATCAGAAAGATTATGGAGAAATATAGAACCGAAAACCAAATCAATGGTAGACAATCAAAATAAAAAAGCAGTTAATTGCGGGTTAAAGGTCAACAGTAACCAATCGAGGTCGAGCTGTTAGTCATATGTGGAAAAATCCGAACATTTAATTTCTACTTGAAGTTCGTGCTGATGATGTTGTTTGGAAGAACTATGCAAGTTTCATGGCCAAACCATCCATCTCAGAGGACGAAACGTAGCCAAAATTATCCACTTTAGCGTCTACATACCAATACTACTTAAACGATTCATAATAGTCTAATTATGCTACAAACTGATAGAACTCAAAAAGCTAATGCAAGAAATGTATGTAATGAAGCTGTATTTCATCGTGCAAAAATTTCAAGAATGAGAAACATTTTTTGTTATTGTTTACGAAAATTTATTTATTCATTTATTTGAACACATAAATATTGGTACAAAGGGGCACCGAATACATATGCACCACACAAGTCACTTGATTTGTGTGTGGACTGTGATATTGCCCGAGTGCCCAGACCGAAGCAGATAGTTTTCCTAGTGGATCACAGCCCGAGCCTCCGACCTAGAGGTCCGATCCACAAGGTAGTGGAGCAACGTCAGGAGATGCAGTCGCATGGTAGCCGGTGACCAACAATAGGTTCATAGGCCATTTGTTCCTTCAGGATCCTGGAACTCATGTGCACCATTGGTTTGGAATCAGGGTTTTCCCACTCCCCTAGGAGGATCCTCCGTGTCCACCAACTCGGTTAGATCGCCTGAAATCCGCCTTTCGTCCTCTCAGTCGTATAAACGACAGTTATTCCTCGAGAAGGCAGTGAGTAAGACTTCCTTAGCAGTAGCTGTATACGCGTGGCCATATGGGAGCATTTTTAGAGGGAGAGAGGACTCTCTCCACTCTCGGGCTTTTGGGGTCTTACAGAAATTAGAAATTAGTATAAGAATTATATGTAGTACTAGAAACAATATTGATGATCCACAAAGAAATACTTTTCATAGACATTAAGTTCTTTCTGTTTGCGTTCTTAAATGTTCATCTCAACATTCCAAGAATGACGTCAATATATATATATATATATATATATATATATATATATATATATATATATATATATATATATTTGGTCAGTATTCAATTGAATAAACTTATGAATTAAATATTGCAGGTCAAATGTAACTTACCGAAATATTATTCGTTATCTCGTTTATATACTCAATTGAAGATTGTTTTGAAAAATCGTAATATTTTTTTCAGATTTGTCTACCTTCACCTGAAAAAGTTTATAAAATTAGCTTATCTAGCACATGCACTCGAGTTAGACTATTACAAACCGCTGAAATAAATCCATCAAAAGATTGTCACCTTACACTGAATTCTAGCGCTACGATCCGTATCGGCGTAGAAAAACTGCCTGTTGTTATACATCTAAAACTCGATGAACTGGCCGCAAAATTTTTCGATGATCTAAAGGAAATTTTCGATTCTCCTTATTCATTCCAAATAGAAGATTTTACTTCCAATACATCTGTAATACCTCGATCAAAACTAGTTGAAACATTGTAAGTGATTGACTTAATCTTTTACATTTCGTAACTGTACACTTTATTACTCATTAAATGTTGTGGTGAAATAATCCCGCGTGCAGGATCGCGGATGCGCACCGCTGATGAGTCCCTTACTGGGACAAAACGGCCGTCCGGTGCTTCCAGATTTTCAACGGTGGTCTAGCTAGAATCAACTCATGAATTCAACTATTAAAATAATTGATTACATATAATCAAATACCATGATACGCAATATTCCAGCTTGAAGTAACTCAAATTTTTAATATTATTATCCCCAGGTGTTTTGAAGAATATTGTCCGATAAATCAGAGGTAGTGTAACCTGTATGATTTCGTACATGAGGAATTCAGTGGGATTAGCGAGGAATCTGTGTAATACAGGTTCAAATCTCCTGGAGAGAATCAGTTTTCTCAAGACTGCAACCACACCTTGCTCTCACGAAAGCTAGATCCTGCGTTTACTGCAGACTACTTATAACGACCACCTAACACCTCAACATTGTTCATCCGTTATTCAGTCATTTAGAATTCGATTAACTCAAAGGATTAAACAAATGTGACATTGGTTATTACTCTATCTTCAAGCAATTTTAGACAGTAATCACTCCAATAAATCAGGTTAATGAAGTCGATTGATGTGGTACTTCGCCATATGTTATAGCTCGTTAACTAGTTCTATAGTAAAGAGCACAGCGTAATCTTGCTTAATTATCTGTTATATTTTTGATGATATTCTAGTTCTCATTTATTTTAGCGTACAATGCAGCTTGAGAGAGTGTTTAATTTTAGTTTTCTTGGATACAGACATACAAGCGCTCATTACAAATCACAATCGGATTACATTACACAAATGACCAGATTGTTTGCATTTTATAAACCACATTCCTTATAGTTCCACTTGACTTGTGTGTTATAAGTATTCAGCGTCAATGAATTTTAAATATGCGTATTTTCCTGTTACATCAATATATGAAAATAGTATAATATATCTTATTCTTCCATAATTTTTTATTTTAGTGAATAAATTTGTCATTTTAAATTTTCTTACGTTATTTAATGATATACACAAATAGTGACTTAAGTGTTCATAAACTTTTATCTTTTTCACTTCATAGTTGGTCTAAATCATCTCAAAACATCGAAGCCTTATCTGCAACAGGAGTGTTCTGGCTTAATATCAGAAACACAATTCGCGTTACTCCTCAGTCACTGAATTTAAAGCAAAATCATATGGTTCATTTGATAACATATCCATCTGGTCAAGATATTAATCTTCAATCTGACTCTGAACAACAACAAAAACAAATTGATGATATTTCATGTAGTTTAACAATCCCTATAGTTAGACCCTCTAAATCTACTGTAAATGATGTACATTCATTATGTATGTCACTTTTTGTTGGACAAAATGTTGAATTCATCCTCACGATCGCTGTCAATCTTAGAGGTCGTATCGATCCACCTACTGAGGGGGTGAGAGGATATTGCTTGTTTTTAACAAATCAACATTTATCAGTAAATTTCACTTGTCTTTCCTGTATTGTGTTCCATTGTCCTGTCATTTTAGTCGTTCTTCTATTTGAAGCATAAGTTAAGTTAACAGTTATAGATCAATCTCCATCACATCATTGCACCACTGTCTGTTAGCTTACCAATCAGCGTTGTACATTTCTATATGGTTTCATTATGATCGTTTACAAGTATGTTTAAGGATTTCTTTACTATCTCACAAAGTGATTATTGTAGTAATGATATTAACTGAATTATTTACGATTGCTTCCGAATGCAGTAAATGAATCTGTCAGTAAAAGTTGAATTTACATTTGTGTGACCGATTTTAATGTACTAATAAAATCCTCTAAACTAGAACAGGTTATATATGGTTAGTTATCCGAAAAAATGTAAAATGAAGTCTATCATTTACTTCCAATAATTTTGTTAACATGACATTAATTTTCATCATTTCTAAGTTGTCAATAATTTTCTATGTGCTTAGGTTAATATTGAATTATTCAAGAAATCGCCTCAAATGTCAGAAAAGTTTCCAACTTCTGTCGAACACGATCATCTCTTACTACCTGTGAATAGTGAATCCGAATCGGTAACTAAAACAGTAAAAGAAACCAACTCATCTGAACCAATTGCAGTCACTCAGTCGAATAGTCAAGGTTTATTCTCTTTCAATGCTCTACCTTTAACAGATTACGAAGTATTCAATATTAAATCTATATTTGAGGTTTCTAAAATGTATCAGATTTTATTATCTAAAGCTGGTTACAGGTTCGATATCATTAATAAAACAGATGTTAAACACCAATTGACAGGTTTCGACTGGTATGTAAAATCAACTAGACTTTCGCTTGTTGAAGTGTTTGTCTATAACTATCCTATTTCAGAGGATTCACGTCAACCATTATCAGGTAAATCCACTCTTCTCTGAATATTTAATGATGTTTAAAATTTCACTTCTTTGTATGTAAAACTATTTTCTCCAGTGTATATACTTAATCTTTTCAGTCGTAACCATTTATGGGTACAGTTGTTTTATGTAGCAGCATTAATTGAAAATAAGCTGTTGAAATTTCAACTAAACCTGACAATTGAAGAATGGGTTCATTGCCCTGGTACGGCCGAGAGTGGAGAGAGTCCTCTCTCCCTCTAGAAATGCTCCCATATGGCCACGCGTATACAGCTACTGCTAAGGAAGTCTTACTCACTGCCTTCTCGAGGAATAACTGTCGTTTATACGACTGAGAGGACGAAAGGCGGATTTCAGGCGATCTAACCGAGTTGGTGGACACGGAGGATCCTCCTAGGGGAGTGGGAAAACCCTGATTCCAAACCAATGGTGCACATGAGTTCCAGGATCCTGAAGGAACAAATGGCCTATGAACCTATTGTTGGTCACCGGCTACCATGCGACTGCATCTCCTGACGTTGCTCCACTACCTTGTGGATCGGACCTCTAGGTCGGAGGCTCGGGCTGTGATCCACTAGGAAAACTATCTGCTTCGGTCTGGGCACTCGGGCAATATCACAGTCCACACACAAATCAAGTGACTTGTGTGGTGCATATGTATTCGGTGCCCCTTTGTACCAATATTTATGTGTTCAAATAAATAAATATTGTGTTAAAGCGCTCATTATTCATTGATGATAGTATTGATAAATTTTGTTTTGTCCTAATTCATGACTGATAATGTTCAAGTTAGGATTTTAGTATTCCTGTTCAATTTTTTATTTCAGCTGTATTAATTTCCATTATTGGAGAAGGACATCGTGCAAATCATTTAACAACTGATGAAGGCGTTGTACGTTTTGTCGGTTTATCTCCTGGTATGTTCAGTTTGATTATATATATATATATATATATATATATATATATATATATATATATATATATATATATATATATATATATCATTTTAATCACCATTAGTTTGTGTTGCGTTCTTCCGTGTGTAGTACTTTTTGATTATTACACTTCGCCCGATTTGACACAAATCAGAGCATCATTAGGGTTGAGAACATGGTTTATTCGGAATTTTCAAGCGTACAGTTTGTACAGAATGTACGTAAAAAACTTCCAGGATATTCTAGGTACATCCACCAATGTACGAATAATTGTATTAGGCCTCTACACTATATATGCTGTGATTAGCATTGTGTCCATTGGAAAATTTAGCTTTTCTAATAATTGTTCATGTCTAGTTAATCTTCACTGCTCTTTACTTATTGACTCTATTGTATCATCAGTCTTATTACCTAGACTTAACAATCGGAAAGCACTACAGTTCTCACAACACAAAGTTAAAGCATAGAAAACTAATGCAATGAGAAATTAGTGACTTCCCGAAAACATGATTCCATGGACGTCTTAAAATCATACCATCATTAGACTAAAATTCAATCATTTACATACTAATTTTTACATACCTTTAATATTATTACACACAGAGGACGGTATATTGAGTTACTATTTGAAAAAAACACTAAACTTAATTCGCACCTGTTATCGATACTGAAATTCGTAAAGGGCTAATACGAAAATATCAACCTAATCAATGTCGTCTTCTTATCCCGTCATATCAACAATGTCTGTTTTAATCATGGTAAAATGTAAACCATAATTATTAATAACTTCGTTAAGTTTGGAATTACATAAACACTTAATTCTTAAATTATTCTGTTAGAATTACTGCTTCAATTAATTTTATGATGAGTAAGCCAAAATTCAAAGTGATGCGATGCGACAAAACAATGATTGATTAGAAGACTAAACGCATGGTTTTGATTCCTTCATAAATCCACATTGTTATCATCATGTTTAATTCCTTTCGCTTGACTAATAAAAACTGTAAGACTTCTGGTAATTAGACTGATTACAATCTATTTGGGTAGTATTGAAAAATGTAAACATTAGTCTTTTAGTAGTTAGTCAGATTTTATGACGAAATAGAAAGCTTTGTTTCCTGACTTTGTAATAGATGCTGCTTTTTATGTATCTAAGATTCTATTGTCTCTTGCCAATTCTTATTTTTGCATGTAAATCCTATGAAATTACTCCGTATTTCATTCTTACATTTAAATATCTGAAATTAAAATCATACTTTGTATATCGTCTAATTTATTGGTTTTCAACAAATAATCACTTATGAAGTTTATATTCATCTTTGTCAATATAAACAGTCTTATAACTGATCTGATTCTCTTTTATGTACTACTTTATATTACTGACTAACATTCAGTAACCAGTTTCAATTCTTATACCTTGAGTTTATAACGTGTTCTCTTCATCTGTGGCTGTGTAAAGTTTTAAACTGTTAACATCATTCAGTTTATTTGTAAGCGTAATTGCACTTTTTAAATGCACACAACATACATTTTTAATTCTATTTTATCCGTTGAACGTTTGTTTTAGTGTTACGCTTTCGATATTTTATGTTCTACGTTCTCACTTTGATATTCCATGCCATTGTAATTTAGCTACGGCTGTTAGCTGTCGTGTGTTGTTATTATAAACTCTGTGTATTCATTTTAAGAGTCGGTCTTCTCCGATTGTACACAAACTCAGTAGACATTTCAGACTTCTTACCAGTTGGGGTTTGTATACATTTCATATATTTTCGTAATAACAGTACCATATTAGCAGAATATGTTGTGATTTTTGTCACTATATTTTTCCTGTCACCCGATTGTATGCTTAAAACCTCGATAATATTTTGCAAAATTTATCTAAATAAAATAACTATCTTTCTTTATCTTGATGGTTGGCTACTTTTTTATAGGATAATTGTAAATGTAACATAAAGGAAAAGACGTTTTCGATCATCTAAATTCCGTTATTTCGTAGATTTTTAAAGTGTTCTCTTACTCCACACTTTAGGACAGTATTATGTACGTCCAATGATGAAGGAGTATTCATTTACTGTTAAGTCTCCTGATCAGTCTGAATCTGGTCAAGCTATTCCTGTGCATGTAGAAGAAGGAAAATCGTCTGTCATCATATTGTCTGCACTTCGAATTGCTTTTTCCGCTTCAGGAGTTGTAAGTCAGTACTTTTTTTCTCTTCGCGCAGTTTGAATTTATAAACATAAAGGTAAAGTGTTATGTCACTGCCTTATGTTGTTAGTATAAAGGGAAACTGGAATAATAAGTGTTTTCTGTTATTTGTTAACCGACTTCATCGCTTGAAATTAAATCTTCTGTTCAAATCGATACATACTAGCAACAAGGAAATCAAAACATTAAATATATTAAGACCAATGACAATCAAAAAATAATAGATCTAATCAGCTGGTCCATTATTTAAATACAAAATCAAATCACGTTCACTGCTGAAATTGTTAAAAAATGCATTCAGTTTTGTATGAGACACAATGTCTTCAGTCAAGCCGAACTTAAAAAATCATCCATTATTACACTTTATCTTTCAATTATTAACTGAGTTGTGATTAGTAATTGTTATATATTTTAAATTTGTATTTTTGTTATGTTTGTTTATTTTTTGAACCTTCATTTTAACTTCGGTACTTGAAGGTTACTTCGTTAGCTGGTATCCCAGAGTCTGGTGTTTTAGTTGAAGCTTCCTGGCTACCTGGAACGCAAAATACTGTACATAACGATTTGTTGCACTTAAAATCAAATAGCGACTTGACGTGCCAACTTCGATATGATCAAATCAATATCATTCCACGGGAACAATCTGTAACGGATTCAAATGGCAATTTTCGTATTAGAGGTCTTATGCCAGGTTGGTTTAATAAGTCATTTTTTACTCCCCTTCACGTTATGTTGTAAAATGTGTACATTCTACACATAATGTACCTTTTGAGACAACCACTGGAATAGGTGTACATAAACTGATCCCTAAAGTTATAGAGGTTATCACTTTATTTAATTACTGAAATTCCATCAGTTGGAGCTAGAAATAAATATTAATACTCATATTTACCATTATACTTCTGTTCGTATAGGTCGACCTCAAAAAAACTTGTTAACACTCTTACTTGGATATTATGTAATCCCTTGATTTTGTATATGCATATTTCAATCCATTTGTTAATTAAAATTTGTTAACCTGATCATTATCCGATTCATTTTCATATTTTAATTACTTCCTTAATCACTCATTATTATCGTAAATATTGTTGAATCTTTATTATTGGTGTTTCTTTGCAACGTCATACTACTTGATTGGTACTGATTTTTGTCGTGAAATATACATATTTATCTAGAAATATTATAGAAGTCTAATTCTAAAAAACACCATATTCCTTCATTTTATTCTTCTCTTTCTAACTGTCAAAGAAGTTTTAGCATAAAAAGCGAACTTTTATCTGTTTAATAAAATTGCTGATTCTTCAGTACAGAGAGGTTTGTTTCATAAAACACATTTTAGGTGTTAAAACAATATGGAATAGTCTGGTAGTAGAGGTTTCGAATTATCCTGTTACCAATATTTGAGAATGGATTTCGATCAGCCTTTTTGACATGTGCATTGTGTGCGGGTTACTTCCATATGTTATATTGTTCTGAATAGAGTTGTGACTAGCTGTTAGATCCAAAACCCGCGTTTCGTCATCATCTGAGTTTACCTGGGGTATTGTTAAACTTGGAAGTCAGGCTTAGTACGATCTATACAGAAGAGTTGAGCATTTACTACAATTATTCTTACTCTCTGTTGATGACACAGAAATTTTCCTGATAATTTAAAGCATTCTAGACACTATGCAAATGCATTTCTACTTTATGTTCTGTTAACTGTTCAGTGCTTTTCGTTTATTTTTTGATTTCGGGCAAAACTAATACTAGTTTTCTCGATTATTACTGGCTCCTTAATAAACAACAATACATCCAGATGATTTCGTAATTATTACACTAATCTTATTCATTTTAGCAATTATTGTTGCAAATGGCCATTTTCATCGAATTTACAATAAAATGGTACACTCGTTTTTTTTCTTTTTACGCTACTATTTTTAAAGATTGATAAACAAGAAATATAATGTTATTTTCTTTATTCAGGTTGTGTATACAGGATCTCTGTACATACAAATCCTAATATTTTACCAAATCTTATATTGGATCAAGTGACAAGGGAATCAAGTAAACTATCTTCTCGCAATGATGTTGAACACGCAGTTCCTGATCATATAAATTTGCAGATGCTAACCACTGACACAAATGGACTACATTTCTACATAATTCGTCACCTTTGTACTTCTTTGGTATGTTTGATTCTAAAGCATTTCTTGTTTGAATATAACATTGAGTGTATCCAAGATCTGTACTTCAACAGTATGCCTATTTCATGCAACTAATATGTTATCCATTTATTTTTTATATAGCGAATCATCGCCGATAAGCTTGCTGTCCATATTCCCATTTTATAGACGTCAGTTAAAATCGGTTCAAATTGACGGGTCAGAGCAATATAGTCCGTAGGATAGATCAGTTGGTTTTAGATAGTGTGTTATCTCACTGACCGACCAACCCTACAACGCTTCAGAAATATTTTTCATTTTTTTAAAATAACTATCAAATCCACTTAATGAGTATAAAGAAAGGTTTATGACAACACCCGGAATTTTTTTTCAGACGTCCTGAACTATTGGCGTTTTCTGCAAGTTCACCTACTTCAACTACTTTTTCCTTTATTACACAATGTGCCGTAATTTCAACATTATGCTCATTATGTTAAAAAAAAAGTTGTAAAAAGAAAACATACCGAAAACTCTTGTGTTTCTATCTAAGTTCTCTAATATTTAATACCACATAATTCTGATTAGCTTCGTCTTATTGGATAATGTAAACTAAATATGAATCCAATAGGTATTTTTATGATTTGCTGAAGCATAGTTTGACTGCTGTTTTAGTCTTCCACGAATGGTTTAAAGTGTTATGAACTAATTGGTACTTAGTAGTAATTCTCTCCTATTTCACTACACGAAATTCCTTTCTTTTTTCTCCGTTCATCTTATAGATTACTGTTAATGTACAAACTCCTGACAGTTACCTGCCTACTTTACGATTAATCGTATTTCCTGTTGGTCATCCAGAAAATATTGTTGCTAAACATGACTTTGGTATAGATTCTTCATTATTCAGTTTGTCCGGATCAAAACTTATTCCAATGATTGGGTATGTTAACAATTGATATTCGTAAATCCATCCACTTTATCTTAAACTTTTGTACGTGTGAATGTTACAATACAATTTTCTTTTATTGTCTCATACCTAGCTAAAGCGATCATTAAAAGACAAATTTCTTGTAAATCAATACATATTTGCATGTTCTCCAAACAAACTACATGCTTCTTATATTCGTTTCAGTCTAACAGTGTTTAGGAGATGCAGGAACTTAATACGTGCTATAAAAAAACTTACAGAATGCATCTACGTTATTTTGACTTATTTTTAATCTCCACCCTGACTTGAGTGACGTGACATCAGCGTATTCAGTTCTGTGTTTTTTTTCTATTGACCATACTAAGTATTTTTGCTTTGTTACGTTGTACTATTTAGACTTGAATAAATTTAATTTGTTTGTCTCGTCAAAACTTGACTTATACTGAGTCAAGAAAAGTCAAAATGTCGGAAAACACTGATCACTCATAATGAGTAAATCAATCGAAAATTGACTTTTCTTTCCATCATATCACCCATACACTTACTATTTCAGCTACTATGACCTATGTCTTGATATCGTGTGATAATGTGAACTGATACATATTCGTACTAAATTCTGCTTTACATAAAACTGAATAACTAGAAGAAGTATGTGTCAGTTATTGTAATTTCATTCAAAGAATTAATTAGTCATACTTTTTTCTGAATTGATTTTTCCTTACATTAAATCACTATCATTTTTAACCAGCTAATTAATAGTTTCATTAATGCCTGAATAGTAACGTCTTTTTTTAAAATTTATTTTATAGACGAGAACATGTGATACGTTTAATATCAGATCTTGAACCTAAGTTTTATATCAATGTTAATGCACAGAATATCGTTTTCAAACCAAAATGGAATGTTAGTGAACACTTTAATTTTCATTTCTATCCTAAACTACGTAGTACGCTAAGTGATTAGGTATGTATTGTTATGCATAGTTTGATTGTTTTTTTTTAAAAGTTGAATACCTGTTAATAGAATTCTTTTTATTTCGTAAAGTGCATAAATGTAGATTGAATGTTTGTGGATCGTCTTTGAATGTAATAACTGAAGAATTATGTATATCATACTATAATTAATAATCTTTTATTCAATTTCTCTAGATAAAAAGAAATCCTAAAGTACATTAATGTTCAGTGTTTTAGGAATTATTTCTGTTAAGACATGAAATTGTATGTGATTAGTAAATCTCATTGAAGAATTTGTTTTAAAAAAATTTATAACTGTTTCTTCACCATAAAGCATCATGCATGCTCTACAATATTTGTTTCACATTTTCTTAAACCTATTATACGTCTCAAACGATACGAACAAAGGTTGTAGTCAACTGTACAGAACATTTGTTGTTGTTAATCGGCGGTTTTCAGCTATAATTTTCGATACTGGCTCTATTAGTAATACACAGCTGCTTAATTAGTAACAGACATATAGAATGTGATTTAAACTTATGAAGGTAGTGTCATTCAACCACTAAACAATGCTTCGGTTTGTATATTTTTTTAAGGGGAATATATTAAAATACGCATGAAACATTTTTGGAAAGCTTAAAGCATTACATAACAGATCATGTTTCTAATACATGGTTATTACTATTTATATCATTGACAAAATAAAATACATTTCCAACGATCAATGTTAGTTTGTTTTTGTTTTTCATTGTAAATTTTGTGTTATTTTCACGATATTTTAGGTTAATATCTTCAATAATGGATTGTCCCATCCATCTACATGTCGATTTATGTCTAGTATTCGTATGTTTCTTACTTTGTGCTTAATAAATCGTTCTTTTTTTCCCCGTATAATCTGGTATTATTTTCTCCCGACACAATACACGTGTTTTTTTTACCAAATAATAATTTATAACTGTCTAGTTGTTCTTTATTGTTGTAAAGTGTGTGCAGTAAATATACGCATGTGTATAGTTTTCTTGCGTTAATTCATTTTTTCTTTTTTTAACCTAAATGAATTAACTACTTGTGTTTTATTGTTCAAGATATATTGTTTATCACAGGTCTACTTATCAAACATAACTCCCTAGTCTATCATATTCATTAAGTTCGAATAGTGCTGTAATTGCGGCGGTTTTTTGCGTGTTAGAAACAGTTTCTTTCTTATTATAAATAAATTAATGAAAGAAGTAAATATCTTGCATAGGTTATTTTATATACTCAAAAAGAAACTGGCTTTTGTCCACAGATCGATTTCTAGTGAAATTAGGTGTTTTTTTAAATAGTTTTTAATTATTTTGACACTTGATCCAAGAAATATAAACAATCACAGCAAATTTTATACAACCAGTAAGTAAATTATACAAAAATAACAAAATGAAATGATCAATATACTTGATCTATAAGTAATTATAGTTTTGATCATTCAAATAATTTGTAATGTAGTTCTATTGAAAACAGACTTACTATACTCTAGTAGACACTGCGTAAGTTGTCTACATGTAGATGATCGTTTCAATCAGCAATAAACATTAACATTACTTCAACTATTTTCAAAGTACACCTGTTCTTTGTCTATTTACTTGAAAGTTAATCGTCGCACGTACGAACCAAAGTTCTTGCAATAGTTTAAGTAATAATTAGACCGTTCACTCATGAACTAGCAAGATTAAACCCTATTCGACATCTGTTTGAAAAAAGTGGTAATGTTGTGGTGCGCGCTACTTATATTGATATATGACGCGAGTTAGGAACGTAATGTCTGACAGCAGAAGATGGGGGAAGATGAAGAAAGGAACTGCGGGGACACAATGAAATTCTTATGAAAACGCATGAACTATGAAATGTCAGACAATCGATTGATGTTTGCATCAGGAACAGTACAGTTTGATATGATAGATTGACATTTTGCAAATTAACGATTTACCATATGGTTGTTAGATTTTACTAACTAGTTCTGTAATTTTTTATAAAATACAATCTATTGTCCCCATGGGTGTTCTTGTTCACTACAATATCACCAGGTCATACATAGAGTAGTTGGGAATTAAGTAAGCTAATCTGTATCTGGGGAGTTTTAGACAGTTAGTAACATCTCTATGTTTATCAGATTATATACATGGAAACCTTTCTCTTGAGTACAGTGATCTGAAACAGCAAAAGGTGATAAGCTGCGTAAATAAGTGCAATTTATTTGATAGAATAACAGTAAGTTAAACAAAGTTATCTCAGATGGTCTATCTGAAGGCAGTATATAGTCTGCAGTCTGACGTAGTTCTCACAATCATTTTTTACACCATAGATATACAAAATAAAACATTCCATTCATCAACAAGTGTTTTCTGATTTCGTAACAACGTTAACTGACTTGAGTTAAATAATCTTGTTACGAAGATGTGCTGAACGGTATGCCAGAGATTTAGTCCGTTACATGTGTTCCTCGATTGCAGAAAACTACTATTCACACACCCAACGTAATTAAAACCTAACATTTTTCATAAACAAAAACTTTGAAACGACTCATGTATAAATAATTTATTCCAACGAAGTATTTGATTCAGTTATACTTCTGAAACTACTTACCACATTTTACGTGATCATAAGATCACATGGCAAGAAATTATATATTCTTGTGATGTGATTAAGCGAATGAAGTCCTGAGCAGTCGGTAGAAAGGTCGCAATAATATTAATTCCCCTGGTGCGTATTATAACCATCGCGTTTTTTTTTGAGGTTTTTCCCGACTCGATTCCGATAATTATAATTTTCTCTTTATGATTCGACAGTGTACTAAAAATACGAGATACAAAACTAAGCGATAATATTCCAGAGACAGTTGTAAGAAGAATTGTGAAGTTCATTGATGAATGAGCAAAATTAAGTACTCAGTGTACGACAATTTTAATGAAAACACAGGCAAAATAGATTGATTTCAGTTCAGACGGTTTATCTAACCTAGGTAAAATACCTAGTGACCCATATTATTAATCATGTTTGATAACACTCGAGCAACTGATTTGTATAACACTTAGGACTACATCAAATTAGTTATAATGACCCCGGAAATCCCAGTCCTACTCCATGGTTCGTATACTGATTACCTTTAATACCTCATTCTGGCATTGGTACACAAGATGATAGAATAACGTACATAATGTATATCCAAATTCAGTGAGTGATACCTGTTAAACAGATTCCAGATAACCATATAATGTGATTATCAATAAAAGTTTGCAAAGCAAAGACATCTTTACAATAGTGGACATATCTAATATTTTGTCGACTACATATAACACAATTATAATTTAGTAATGTATCACAAAGAAAAAGGTGTTTACATGTGACTCTTTAAAATATTTCTCCTGTCAGGAGTAATCATCAATAATTTTGACTATTTTTAGAAAAGACTAACTTATTCATACAATTATAGTATACATTACTCTCAATTCCACTGAATAAGAAAACACAACTAATTATGAAATATACACCTCCAAATTCAGAATACATTATTGTATTTATTATCAATCATTTCAAATAACAACCAAAGTGATTACAATCATGAGAATCACAAAGAATGAAAAACAAATTATCTTTTATAGCCTCTCATTGATTACTTTGTATGAAAATAGAATTAGGTAGCACACCACAATGAACCCAACTAAATATCAATCGATTCGAATTGATTGATATACGATTTTGAGAGTGATGAAATGCGGATTATTCAACACCATAACGAATTCGATAATTGCAACTGAAGTAATCAAAGCACAGTTTCCCAACATGTCATGACAAGCTCGTATCACAGAATAAAATCTACATTGGTCAGAGTACAATAAGACTGGTAAACTAACTACTACAATTCGGAGGGTGAAATATATGACACTGTATTCTGCTAACAATGAAATAATCAGGTGAGTTATCGGAAAAATATCCTTGTGAGAAGACTTTAGAAAAGGATGTTGGGAATGTCGAAATGACTGATTTCGGTTGAACAGATCAGTCATATATGGGACATGTAAGTAACATCCATACTTGAGTGGCTTTCAAATGTGAAAATGCACAATACATTACTGAAGGTCGATTAACAAATCACTGTTTGGAACACAGGTAGATTGTGTTTAGTTAACAATAAGACGATATCTGACCAACTTTACGTCTTTGAAGTTCTCAGTGTGACCACCTGAAGTTTCAAAAACTGTTTTTGAATGGCTGTGAAACGAAAACCATCAAGTATAATAATTAAATGTCATCTCACAGTTGATTTGAAACAGTGGATGAAAGTGACTACAATCTTTCATTCTACCAGATCTGCATACTATGGAGTGAAAGAGAAGAAATGGATACAGAGTAGTGAAACTGAGGTGTTTGTATGAACAATGATTCCTTTGTATTTGATGACTGCCTGATTTCGGATTCCAAGTGCAATACATTCTTTTGTGCTCATCTAGTCTAAATTGCATTAGTCTTGGATTCTTAGTTCGAATACTTTTAATCATAACAGAAATGTATTTGATAGGTTCATTGGCTCAGTTGTTGAGAGTTGGGATACTCTTGTTCCAAAGAGATGAAACCTATTAATTGTTGTTCTATTAAAAGTCAATAGGTTAATGAACATTTTGATAGCCAATAAACAACAATAGAACGCGACCAATACGACTGTTTTGCATTTCAAATTTTAATAAACTTATGTGATAATTAGTCAAGAAAACGGTTACTGACTTTTATCTGAATACCAGGATAGTTGTTCTATTCACTCACAAATTTTATGACTGGTCGGGGTACAACATCACTTACATTTTTGAACATCTGAACATCATCTTGCATGGTCAGTATATGATGATAAAAGGCTTTACATGTGTAATGTATGAACAAGTCACGTCCATAGGGAACACAAATTGTGAATTACCCCTTCGACGGATCAAAGTACTATGGCTGCTTTTAAGAACGTTTGACGCATAGGACGTTAATATGGAATTATATTAGTAAGAATTAGTACAGAGAAGATAGCTAGACCTACATCGTATGCACCAGTCCATGGCATACGAATAACTGATGCGCTTTGATTATCCTTGACGTAGAATGATAATCTTTTCGATATTCAGTGACCCAACTGCGGGATGATTTGGCTAGGTCTCAGTGACATTTCTCTAGCCCTACGAAGTGTTTATTCAATTTGACTAGGCTTTATATAATTGTCGTTTAGGATCTGCAGTGACATCATTAGGTTTAAATAATTATTATTACTCAATCAATTTCTTAGCTATCTCAAAAATATGTCATTCCATCATGATAACAATTTGCAAGTTCTAACCTCTCATGTACCTTTAAGAATATACATTTCCGCCTCCGGAAAACAAATTTTGTCTTGTAATATTTCAGTTAAGGCTTTGTGAAAATATTCATTAAAAACCATATACTTGGAGAAAATTTATCAAATAATAAACTAATATTCAGTAATGTTTTGATTTAAGACTCAACTACGATTGTTATACATCCTTTTCTTATAGTCAAGGTGTGGTGTGGGTTACTTATATCCACACAAGTAGTATGTAACGGTGGTCAGGCATAGAATGTATTTCAGTAGAAGGTCGATGAGGAAAGAACGGGAACGAAACGCATTTGGTATGAAAACGTATGAACAATGAAATCTGAAACAATGGATTGATGTTTGCAACAGGAACAGTCAAGTTTGATATGATGGATTGATATATTGCAAATTAACGATTTACTATATGGTTCTCGGATTTTTTTGAGATGCTTTGTAATTTAGTGTCAAATACATTTGTGTTCGTATTCACTACAAGGGTTTCCTATTAAGATTTCTTACACTAAATCTATATGAAATGCATCACTGAACTGTCACATCAAAAAGCTAATTGAAATTCAATGGGTTGTTATAATAGAATTTGATGATATCTTCATTTTAAATTTTAAGAAAAGTAATACTGAAGTGATTATCAGTTTTAAATGTGATCCACTAATAATTATCAATATTGATAAATTCTAGACCAAGATTATTGAATTATCACCTTCAATGAATATGTATATATCTTTTGATTTATCATAAAATATCCTTAAACAAGATCGAATAATAAATAGTATAAATGATGGATAAAATTTTATTGTATAGAAATCAGTCATTCAACTAAATGTATTAAACTGTATACATTTTTAAAGACGAATTGGGTCATATCCTTTTTAAAAAAATATGTAATCCGATTAATTTAATTATCCTATTGCTCCCAAATGCCTTGGTATGGCCGAGAGTGGGGTAGGCCAGCCCTCCCTCTCGAAATGCTCTCACATGGCCACGCGTATATAGCCTCTGTCACGGAAGTTCTACTCACTGCCTTCACGTGGCGGGGGTGTTGTTTACGGAAATGAGAGGATGAAAGGCGAATGTCCGGCGCTTTAACGGGATCCCGAACCAATGGTGCACATGAGCCACAGTATCCTGAAGGAACAAATGGCGTGTGAACCAATCGTTGGTCACCGGCTACCATGAGACTGCGTCTCCTTACGATGCTCCACTGCCTTGTGGATCAGATCTTCAGGTCGAAGGCTCGGGGTGTGGCCCCCTAAGAAAACCACCTGCTCCGGTTTGGGCACCCGGGCAGTATCACAGCGCACACACAAATAAAATGAAAATTTGTGTGGCGCATATGTATTTGGTGCCCCCTTGTGCCAATATTTATGTGGTCAAATAAATAAATAATTACAATGTTGGAACTGGAATGACATCTAATACTAAATAGACATCATTTTCAACCAATCAAATGTTGGAAACTTATTAAAATCTTCATAATCTTGTTTAACAGATTTGTTTTAATTAATGACAAGATTAAAATAAAAGTCAGTTGTCAATTCAATTTTAAGAAATTATTATTTTATGAAACAAAATAATTATTTTTATTATCATGTGCATTTATTGTATTTAATTGTAATCCTATGTAAGGTGATTTGTATAGAATATAATTATTGTAATAAAATATTATCTAGTCGACAATATTACAAATGTTCAATCAGCTTGGTTTTATTCCGGAACTAAAAATATGGAAAAAACAACATCTAATCCTTTTGATACTCCAGAGAATGAAGGAAAAACACAGAAAATATACTATCTTAAATCTGATGACAATATATGCTTTATTATGAAAGCGGATATTAAACTTGTTATTCCTTTGAAGGTAAGTCAATTAACTTTTCATTGTCTTAAGTAAATACAACTGGGGCCATTTGATGATACAAGTCTGAATTCTATGGTAAGTTTCACATGTATTAGGATTGTAAATATGACTAATTGATGAATGACAATTAGCATGAAAGCTAAATTCATAGCTTTCTGTTAATTATTTTCGATCATTCGATAAATTAACATTTATTTGCCACATTGGAAAGTATTATCAATGCATCAAAATATTTTGAGACTAGTAGAAATAACTAATTATACCATGTTAAATGAGTAAGCTGTGCAAACTTTTTAAATCAACAAACATCAGGTTAATAAATATCTATTTTTATGGATTCAGTTGTTTGTAAGAAATTGATTTTGGAAGCGTAAGTTATGTCCAATGGGAATCTTTTAGCTAAACTTCAAGGCTAAATTACACTATTATTATTACTATAAAATGTTAAACGCTACTCACAATACTGCCTAAAACAATAACCAGCAGAGCGTTTCATGGGAGTTGTTTCGGTCGACAGGGAAAGACAAGACGTCTCAGAAAACCGAAACCATGGTGGTTCAGAATGCTTTTGAGACCTGAGGTAAAGTTATACAAGAGAGTCTACAACCATCTTGGGTAACGGAACACACAAATAATGCAAATTGAGGATTGATGAGTAATTGTATTTGTTACGCAAACAATTTGTGTTCCCTATGGACGTGACTTGTTCATACATTACACATGTAAAGCCTTTTATCATCATATACTGACCATGCAAGATGATGTTCAGATGTTCAAAAATGTAAGTGATGTTGTACCCCGACCAGTCATAAAATTTGTGAGTGAATAGAACAACTATCCTGGTATTCAGATAAAAGTCAGTAACCGTTTTCTTGACTAATTATCACATAAGTTTATTAAAATTTGAAATGCAAAACAGTCGTATTGGTCGCGTTCTATTGTTGTTTATTGGCTATCAAAATGTTCATTAACCTATTGACTTTTAATAGAACAACAATTAATAGGTTTCATCTCTTTGGAACAAGAGTATCCCAACTCTCAACAACTGAGCCAATGAACCTATCAAATACATTTCTGTTATGATTAAAAGTATTCGAACTAAGAATCCAAGACTAATGCAATTTAGACTAGATGAGCACAAAAGAATGTATTGCACTTGGAATCCGAAATCAGGCAGTCATCAAATACAAAGGAATCATTGTTCATACAAACACCTCAGTTTCACTACTCTGTATCCATTTCTTCTCTTTCACTCCATAGTATGCAGATCTGGTAGAATGAAAGATTGTAGTCACTTTCATCCACTGTTTCAAATCAACTGTGAGATGACATTTAATTATTATACTTGATGGTTTTCGTTTCACAGCCATTCAAAAACAGTTTTTGAAACTTCAGGTGGTCACACTGAGAACTTCAAAGACGTAAAGTTGGTCAGATATCGTCTTATTGTTAACTAAACACAATCTACCTGTGTTCCAAACAGTGATTTGTTAATCGACCTTCAGTAATGTATTGTGCATTTTCACATTTGAAAGCCACTCAAGTATGGATGTTACTTACATGTCCCATATATGACTGATCTGTTCAACCGAAATCAGTCATTTCGACATTCCCAACATCCTTTTCTAAAGTCTTCTCACAAGGATATTTTTCCGATAACTCACCTGATTATTTCATTGTTAGCAGAATACAGTGTCATATATTTCACCCTCCGAATTGTAGTAGTTAGTTTACCAGTCTTATTGTACTCTGACCAATGTAGATTTTATTCTGTGATACGAGCTTGTCATGACATGTTGGGAAACTGTGCTTTGATTACTTCAGTTGCAATTATCGAATTCGTTATGGTGTTGAATAATCCGCATTTCATCACTCTCAAAATCGTATATCAATCAATTCGAATCGATTGATATTTAGTTGGATTCATTGTGGTGTGCTACCTAATTCTATTTTCATACAAAGTAATCAATGAGAGGCTATAAAAGATAATTTGTTTTTCATTCTTTGTGATTCTCATGATTGTAATCACTTTGGTTGTTATTTGAAATGATTGATAATAAATACAATAATGTATTCTGAATTTGGAGGTGTATATTTCATAATTAGTTGTGTTTTCTTATTCAGTGGAATTGAGAGTAATGTATACTATAATTGTATGAATAAGTTAGTCTTTTCTAAAAATAGTCAAAATTATTGATGATTACTCCTGACAGGAGAAATATTTTAAAGAGTCACATGTAAACACCTTTTTCTTTGTGATACATTACTAAATTATAATTGTGTTATATGTAGTCGACAAAATATTAGATATGTCCACCATTGTAAAGATGTCTTTGGTTTAAAAATTTTTTAATTTTTGTGGCAGTGAATGATATGCTGTTTTCAACATTTGGTGAACTACATCGCGTTTGTTAATGTATAAACTGCAGTTCTGACCATTTGAAATGAATGAAATATTTAGTGTTGAAACGGTTTCCTAATTATCGAAATCACTTTTCAGAAATTGGTTAAATCAAATTCCAACTTTTATCTAATTTTGATAGAATGAATTTAATTTTTCATTATTTTTTGTTTGTATTGTATTTGACACTGAGAGCAGGGGAAGCAAGCATTTTGACGATTTATCTACCGTTTTATTTAGATTAGGTAACAACTCGGTATTCAAGATGTGCTACACTTTATTATTTATTAAAATATGTGTTTGTTTATGGCATTTAGTATCTAAATCATCATAGTCCTATAGGTATGTTAGCATTTGGACTAGATATTTTGACGAGCAGCACTTATACTAGTTCATTTTCTTCATTAGTGATGATATTTTTTCTTTTCTTCTTTCTTTGTAATACATTTCTAAATTGTAATTGTGTTATATGTGGTTGACATAATATTAGATATCTTGACCATACAAAAAGCGTGTTTAGTTTGTAAATTTTTTTAATTCATGTGGCAGTGAACGGTATGTTTTTTCTTATTTCTAATAAAAGTAGGTGAAATATTAAGGTTATTTTCATAATTGTTAGATAGTAGTTTATGTAAATCTGGAAATCCACTCGACTTATGTAGTTCTGTTTAGCATTTTACTGAATATTATATAGGATGTAGCGTTCACCGGGTAAATTACTGTCTACTAACTCTCAATGTTAATAGGTTGTATCTGTATGACTTCAACTTGTATCTGTTAGTTTGAAAAAATCAATGTGAGACAACTTTTCCATGTCCTCTGTTTTTCAGCGTTACATTAACTTATCAGATAGTTGCTTAAACATCGTTGAAATTATAACTTCACATAAAAGATGTAATTATCCAAGTGTTGAAGATGATTTCGAATTTCCTATAAAATACTATTAACTCATCGTAATATTCGATAGTGCCTAGGGTTTTCTTTTATTTTGATCTATATCAAACAAATCAACTAACTGTTTGCTCACTTTAATGTATTGTTTTTGGACGGAATAGTTACTTCTTCGTGTAATCTTTGTTTCGAATACAGTTCATTCCTCGAACAAGTATTAGTTATTAACAGAGTTAACACTTTTATTTTCTTCCAATCTATGAAGGGTGAATGTATCATCTCTGTTGTTATGTGATAGAGAAATAGACGGACAAACTTAAAGAAAGTTGTATATTTAAAAATATGTGCACCAACTATTCAATTCTGTAGAAAAGTAACCTTAACAGAAGATAGCAAAATTATAACAGAGGTAAAGCATAGTGAAACTCATCCTAACGTCGTTACATGACTGTTTTATCTCTGCTAGTTCCTCTAATTTGACCCATTTCGTCAATTACATGATGAAATTTTTATTGTCAGAACGTATTGAACCTTGATTTTAACTACTGTTAATAAATTGATGTATTATTTTGTTGCAGTAATTGGTAAACTATAAGAATATTGATGAATAGAAGACAATTTTGATCAAAAAATCCAAATATCCAGCTCTAAGAGATGGTTTCACTAGTATTATGATTTATGGTGGCTCAAAAGTTTGATAAAGCAACGAGATTACCATAATGGTTAACCTGATAAATTCCTTCACCCGACCTATCTCTTAATCACAGCCGTGTCGTTTACAAAATCAAAAGTCGGGACTAAATACATGAATATATGCAAACTCATGGTTTATTTATCACAAATTATTTGACTACATTGGTATGGAAACAATTTCAGTTTTAGTTGGCCAACGAATAGCCAAGAAGAGCCATAATTGACCATAAAAGCAACGACTTTTGACTTTGTTCTACTAACAGCTCTTTTGTGTTTTCTAACTTTATGAACCCACTCTTTTATAAAATAAATTTATGCATTTTAACATCATACAGCGATTTTATCATGCTTTAAGTGATTTTTTCTGCATTTCTTTATTTAGCATAAACGTAATGCGACAGATTAAAGTATGATTGTATGATATTGTACTTAAGACGGTTTTAAGTTAATTTACTAGCTATATGCTCAGGCTTTTATTCCACATTCTTGATTTAAATCAACTTCGGTATTTAAGCGAAATTCTGTCTGATACATTACATCAGCACCAAATATATTAGGAGACTTTGACTCTGAGAAGTATTAATAAATCAAGAAGACACTAATTGAAACAAAGAAAGTAATCACTTCTGGTACTAACTTTGATAGAAATATTTCTATGAATAGGTGTTTTGAGATTTCGTTTTATATCTACGATTAACGTTATGTAGAATAGAAAATAACCCGGTTTTTTTCATGATTTAATTCAAAGTTTCAATATTAACAAAAAGTTAGTTTACTCTTCAGGTCTTATTCACATATCATACTTCTTCGGCCAGTTATTGCCAGTCGTATCATATTCAAATCTTTACTCAAAATAATGTATCGCACATTACTTGACTAGTTGATCAATACTGTACCTTAATTGGTTGGATATGACAGTCTATAAACGTCGCAACTATATTTCATTCACTCTAGTTTTTTTCATTTGGGAATATCTGTACCAGAACGAGGACTTTACTCGCTGTATGGACTGAGATTCTCTTATTGTTTTTCTTTTAGTTGGTTTATTTGTTAAAGAAAAAGCTTTGTGTTAAGTCACTATTTAGGAAATGGCAGTTAGATGTTGGGTATTCTTCAAAGTAAGAATTTAAATTCTTTGAAAAGAAATAACGCTTAAATTCACAAATTCTTACTAATAAATCTATGCATATAAATACTTCTGTCATTTTATTAGCAGATCTGAATTACCATAGTCTACTATGATGTTTTCTTTCTTAATACTGTTTTACAAGAGATTCGATACTTTATTTAAGTTTAATGTTTAACCAACTACTACCTATTTATGTATTTGATCAAATGATCAACATATTTTATGATAGTGTTTAAAATGCTTCATTTAGTTTTTATTCTTATCATATGATCTCATGGTTACAAAAAAAATAATAGTTAATTTCTTTTTTAAAGTTGAATGAATTAAATACACATTGTATATACATGAGCCATTTCAAGTTTATTGTTTTCCAGCAAGATTGTTTACAATATGCATAAATTTAACATGTAAATTATAGTTTTCTACAATCAAGAAACACATGAATACAAAATAATAGAAATCCTTATCGTATCACGCAGCTTATTATATATATATATATATATATATATATATATATATAAATTTAGTGAACTCTTACATCGATTTCTTTTTGTTACCCTTTTTATGGAATAAAAACTTAATAGTTTAGACTAATGATCCTGTTATAGTTTTTGTCGAATATTTTGGTTGTAAATGAAGTTGATAACTGATTGATTCTTTCTAGACAGTGTCCATATTTGAGAGATCATTCGGCAAAAATGTTTTTAACAGTTAAAGTTTATTATTACATGTTTTATTCAAATAACATTGGTCAGTTTGTTCGAATATTATGTTTAATCATGGAGTGTATATCTATGGTGAAACTGAATGTCTGTGTTTTTGAATACATGAACTCATCCAAAATATAAATTACAGTGATTTTAGATTAAGAAAATATCTGAGATCGTTACTTTATTTATCAAAAAATACATTATCCATTAAAAAGTGTAAATCTTTGCTGAATTTTAAATACTACTTACTTACTTACTTACTTATGCTAGTTACCTTTTATAAAATATATGCTACCGACCAGCATTCTCTAGCGAAATTTGTCATGATCTGTCCTTTCCAGTTGTTTCCAGTTGCTATTCATGCTTTTCATGTTTGCTTCAATCTAACGCAATGTGTTCCTTGGTCTTCCACTTCTCATTTTCCCTTCAACACTCCAAGTTTAAGCTTGCGTCCATAACCGAAAATATTGAACATTGATCACTAGCATATTAATGAAGAGCTCACAAGTGCGATAGAAAATTTACTTATAAATTAGTGGACGCAAATGATAAATCCACTTAATCAGTTTTAGTTTATTTCACTACGATATATTTGAGTGTGTTAATATAGAAGTTCTTATTTATGATCTACTCAACCGCTTTTATTTAGTTTTAAATTATTTGTATATACACAATTTCTGTGCAACTCCGCCTGGGCCCCTCTGGGGCTACTGTCGATCCCAAGTCCGGATAAAGGAGGAGGGTTGGGCATGGAGTTAGCGACCCCATCCCGTAGAAAACTAACTCGCCAAAAAACTAGCCAGAAAAAACTAATTCAAATCATCTAAACTGTGCCCTGGGAGTCAGGAGGGCTTCATTTAGAAGAGTTATGAGGCCTCATGATGAAAGCCGAGTTTCTTCGGAAGTCACGAGGCCGATGCCCCTTCTGACAACCAGAGCAACCATTTATTTAGGTACATGGAATGATCGTACAATGTGGGAGACTGGGAGAGTCTTCCACAGAAATCAGGACATACAACCTGAAGGTGCCTGGGATCAGTGAAACACATTGGACGCATGTGGGACAACAACGAATAGCTTCAGGGGAGCTGCTGTTATACTCCGGACATGAACAAGAAAATGCCCCACATACACAAGGAGTTGCATTGATGCTGTCCAAACAAGCACAAAATGCACTTATAGGATGGGAATCTCATGGACCAAGGATCATCAAAGCCTCCTTCAAAACAAAGAAAGAGGGCATTACATTGAACGTCATCCAATGCTACGCGCCTACCAACGACTACAATGAAGACGCTAAAGATCAATTCTACGATAGGCTGCAGTCAATCGTCGAGAAGTGCACAACAGAGGACCTGACCATTCTGATGGGAGATTTAAATGCCAAGGTTGGAATTGACAACACCGGATATGAAGAGATCATGGGACGACACGGACTGGGAGAAAAGAACGAAAATGGTGAGAGATTTACAAACCTATGTGCCTTCAATAAACTGGTCATAGGCGGCACTATATTCCCACACAAACGCATTCACAAAACCACATGGACTTCACCGGATCATACTTCGCAAAACCAAGTCGACCATATCTGTACCAACAAAAGTTAAGGAGGACGATGGAGGACGTGAGAACCAAAAGAGGAGCTGATAAAGCATCAGATCATCACTTGCTGGTCGCCAAGATGAAATTGAAACTCAAGAAGCACTGGACAACGGGGCGGACAATATCACAAAAGTTTAATACGGCTTTTCTTCGCGATGATGACAAACTCAGCAAATTCAAGATAACCCTCAGTAATAGGTTCCAGGCCTTTCACGATCTACTCAATGGAGAAGGAACTACTATGGAGAGCAACTGGAAAGAGACAAAAGAGGCAATCACTTCAACATGTCATGGGGTTCTGGGCCAAAAGAAGCACCATCTCAAGGAAGGGACCACTGTTGATACACTGGATATGATTCGAGAAAAAAGGAACAGGATGGCAGCAATCAATACCAGCCGAACAAGAGCAGAAGAAGCCAAGGCACAAGCTGAATGCACAGAAGTAAACAAGCAAGTGGAGAGGAGCATGAGAACAGACAAACGTAAATATGTGGAAGATTTAGCAATGACGGCGGAAAAGGCTGTAAGAGAAGGAAACATGAGACAACTGTATGACACAACAAAAAAAACTCTCTGGAAATCATCGTAAACCAGAACGACCAATGTAAATCAAGGAAGACAAATTAATAACTAACATTGGAGAACAGGTGAGTAGAGCACTTCAAGGAACTCTTGAATCGACCAGATCTAGCAGTAACTGCAAAGATGCTCCGCACTCTCTTCAGCAAGGTTTGGGATGAAGAACAAGTACCAACAGACTGGAAAGAAGGACACCTGATCAAGATATCAAAGAAAGGCTATCTCAGCAACTGTGATAACTACAGGAGCATCACTCTTCTCTCAATAACAGGAAAAGTCTTCATCCGGGTATTGTTAAACAGAATGAAGGACTCCGTAGATGCCCGACTTCAAGACCGACAGGCTGGATCGTGTACAGACCGAATCGCAGCACCACGGATCATTGTGGAACAATCAATTGAATGAAATTCGCCACTCTACATCAACTTCACTGATCATGAGAAAGCATTTGATAGCATGGACAGGATAACACTATGGAGGCTTCTTTGACACTACGCGTGCCTGAGAGGATAGTCGACATCATACGGAATTCCTATGATCGATTAAATTGCAAAATTGTGCATGGAGGACAATGGACAGACCGGTGTCAGGCATGGTTGCTTACTCCCACCCTTTCTCCTTCTCCTGGTGGTCAACTGGATCATGAAGACGTCAATATCTGGGGGAAGCATGGGATACAGTGGACAGCTAGGATGCAGCTGGACGATCTAGACTTCGCAGATGATCAGGCTCCTCTATCGGTCAGAATTTTCGATACAAATGTCAAGACAGTTCTACTATATGGGGCGGAAACTTGGAGAACCACGAACGTCATCATCCAGAAGATACAGGTGTTTATTAACAACTGTCTACGCTAAATACTTCGGATCCGTTGGCCAGAAACTATCAGCAACAACTTACTGTGGGAGTGAATAAACCAGATTCCAGGGGAAGAAGAAATCAGGAAGAAGCGTTGGAAGTAGATAGGTCACACATTGAGGAAAGCACCCAACTACGTCACAAGACAAGCCCCTAAATGGAATCATCAAGGCCAAATGAGGAGAGGAAGACCAAAGAACACATTGTGCAGTGAATTGGAGACAGACATGGAAAGAATGAACAAAAATTGGATAGAACTAAAAAAGAGTGTGTTGGAGAATGCTGGTCGGCGGTCTATGCTCCATTGGTAGTAACAGGCGTAAGTAAGTAAGTAATTTCTGTGCAATAATAATTATTAGTTAATACATTTTTTATTCATTTGGTTTATAAGATCATTAAGATGTATTAAAATCTCTCGTATTTTGCATGTTTATATTCAATTAATATCTGGAATTTTAATCATAATATTTCCTGTTCAACTTTTCATTAATCCAGGGAACAAAGAACAATATTACATCCCATTTGGATTCTACAATGAAAAATATCGAATTTTCTGGATTCTGTCATTCTACTTCAACTTATTTATCAGTGAAATGGATACATTCAGGTCAAAAAGCTCCATGGCTGTTAACATTTATTTTCAAATTATACGCAAATGATTATTATACATTTGATTCAACTAATTTTGATTATGTATTGAATGATGGTAGGTTATATTTTATTTGTGTATATGTGCTAGAAAACTACCTACGCGTTTAAACCAGTTAATATCATGGCTAATGGTGCTTAAATTCAAGACGTTTATAGACATTATTTAAGAATTTTTAAAATTCATTTTCGTAGTTTAATAACGAAAAAATAATATATGATCAGAAATTATAAATTGTGATCAGAAGTGGGATATATATATATATATATATATATATATATATATATATATATATATATATATTGCATAATCGTTCAGTAACTAGATTATGTATATCTATAATCCTCTTATTATAGGCTACATTTTCACCTATAGATTATTATACGATTTACTGTTCTTAAGTTATGTTCAGTTTATTGATTATAGTCTTCCACGTTCATAGCCACTTTTTGACTTGATTTTGTGTAAATGTTATTTCATATTTTATGGAGTGATGAGCTTTGTTTGACCGGTATATAAACCAAGTATGTTTGAAATAAATGATTCGCATAGTGGAAGCTGTTCTTAGCGTTCTGGACTCAACTGGACGGGTTAGACGAACAAAGGACAAATAAGGTCGCTAGGCTGCTCATACCGTTCGAACGTCATTGGTTTAGCACAGTACTAAGAGTGAATAAGTCGCATTTCGATTGGCGAATAAATCACATGACAACTAGCCGGGCCTAAAGTCACAACAATATGCAGCATTTGTTTTATCATATTTCAATTTTTTAGTTTGATATACTTGTAGTAGCATTAATATTCTTATTATAATTCGAGCTCAATTTTACAACATAGTGGAAATTCCCATTTTGACATTTGGTAAATACAGAAGGAACGAATCGAGTGAAGAAATTTCTTTTTAATTAATTTTTCATCATGGCTCTAAACTTGATATATATATATATATGATTTACAATAATGAAATGATACATATCGAGATGTGTTACGCATTAATTATAGAATGACACATCGATTATAAACTAACATTCCATCAAACTTGCCGCATGGTTTACTAGTTTTGTCTTTTGCACATTGGAATCCATGTTCACAAACCAAACCTTCGCATCCAAAAGTAGTTTGTACAATCACTCTTGCTAACTTTGTCATCTGTATAAGGGGGTTTGTAGCAGAACTTTGATAAACTAATTTCGTATTTCTTCCACTTAGTCTACTCATTCTCAAGATTTGTCTTTTGATTCTTACATAACTATTATATATATATATATATATATATATTAGTGAACCCATGATGACCATGTACGAAATTTGCATAATCATTCTGGACAATCACATTTATTTGTTTGTTTTTTTAATCGTTTACAAAAATTGAAATTTCCTTGTTTTTATTTTAATATTACTTCCACTTTGCCTGTACTTTTTCAAAATTTTCACCGAGTAATGAATGAAACTTTAATTTCTAGATATGTTCATCTATATCTATAGACCAACAAACTTTTATAATGATTAATAATAAGATGTTGGGTATAAATTTCATTTTATCTACAACTCAGTTGAATGTATCTTCACCCTATTTAATAGTAATATCTTTAATATCACTACAATCTCCACAAAACCCCTTCTGATAAAAATTCAATAACGTCAAAATTCATGCACTTTATAGTCATCTCTTTTTACACTAATTCGTTATTACTGAAGTTACTATCATCTCTTTGCATATTTATTACATTATCTTTAGATCATGAAGTAATTTCCCCTGTGATTTGACTAAAATTATATTACTAGAAAGAGGTTGAAACAGAAATACGAGGTTTTTATTGTGAGTCATGTAGCAATTACGATAAGCAAAACTATGATCTTCATTGTGGTCATGAACTGATATACGTTAGACGACCACTGAGAACCTGGATGGCCGTATTGTCTCAGTACGGGACTCCTCAGCAGCGCCATGTCATGACGATGCGACCGGGAATGGAATTAATTACCTTCGATCTCCAATGCGAACGCTTAATTTTTAGGCCACTGAACCAGTATCCATCGGTGTACATGCCATACTTCAGTCAATACGCGATACTGTGCGAGAATTATTCATTGTCTTCAGCGGTTAAGTTTCTCAAACCCAACAAGATTAAACTCCGCTGGTGTATGTACTCTCCTGGGAAGTCCTATACTAGGATGAACCAAAAGTTCAGGGCCCCCAGGTTTTCAACAGTTGTCTAACTTAGATCGGTTCATGATCAATAATTCAACAATGTGTCAGTAACTTTCACAGCCTCCATATTGATAAAACTATGATTTCTTTTCTTGGAAAGTTAAAATGAATCAATTCTGTTCATCATATAAGAATTAATAAAGAAATTGATGAATTGTTCATTCATGTTGTCGATTTTCAAAAATACCAGAAATACATTAATCGCAAAAGCTGTTGCACAATTATCATTGAAAAATAATTTTTTGTATTCTCGTACATTCTACTCATTTTAGTTGTGTTCGAACATATGAACTTAAAATGTAAGATGAACTAAATATGAAACAAGTTACCTCAATCTCTTTTACATCAAATCAGTACCTGATATCTATTCCTTACGTCATTATCCAATTCATAATTGTCCTAATCGATAATCTTAGAAATGACTCAAAAGCACGTCTGAGATTTTCCTATTCCGATTAAGAATTTAAAAACACAATACAATTGATTTAGTCTACTTTATGAATACTGTATAATCAATGTCTTCTGTTGAATATTTGATTGGAGCTAGGACGTCCGCGCTTTACGACCATCACATTAAGCTTTACAACTAAGTTTATTTAATCCGGTGATTAGTCTTTACAATCTAAGTCAGTTCTCCGAAAATAAACTTTTATCTTCTGTCGCTAGTGGTTATCTGCCACAACTGATATATAATTGATTCTACTTAGCATAAATCCCTATCCTAACTCCAAGACATTCGTAGTAACTGTTATTTCGAAAATCTTATTGTTGCTTTCAGCTTACTTAATCTTAACAATTAACGCCTTGACTTTATAAATCATTGACCCTCTAAATTTTTATTATACGTTTACTCCTTTAGAGGAAATTTATTCAAGATCAAAAGATGAAGTATTTTCTGTTCAAAAAGACCAATATTACAATTGTACTAAAACACTAAAAATTGAACTTCACCCTTCGGACCGAAATTATAGTACAGTGCGCTTAATATTCAAAAGTCTTGAAGTCGAAGCCTTTCGGGAAAGTCCTGGAACTAGTTACGTTGGCAAAGGTTAGTTTTAATTGTAAAAATAATCTAAAAGTGCTTTTTATCGACAGTTTTCAAATAATCCCTTTTCCATAATTTAATAATAAAATAGGGTTGATCTACAATAATGTGATATATTTGTGCCATAAATTTAAAATTTGACCACATGTGTACTTGATATGTCATTGATGTATAAAAAACAATAACCGTCGACTAAATATACATTTAATAAACAAAGTAGTGATTGAAAACTAATAATGGAAATGTATAATATGGTATGGAAATTATTAGTTGTAGTCACTCTGTGACTAAGAATAGAGAACCAGGGTAGAATCAACGTTAGAACAATCTGTATCCACAGACATAAAGGTAGTCTGAGTTTTCTGACTACCAAAGCTTTTTTAGTCGTAGGAACGGTCCATCACTCCTCTCTGTGTTTGTTTTTTCACCCATACATATGAATTAAGTAATGTAGTGTTCTGTAATGCAATCGTTCACGAGCAATGTCTTGAAAACTAAGCGAAATTTAATACATGTAAATGGTATTTTAATTTTTTTTAAATTTAGTTTTACGTTTCATCTCTTCACCATTAAATAGAATCACATTGTTCCAAAGATGAAAAAGAAAGTTTGACATATATCATTGTGAGTATATCTATCTTTACTATGGCTGTGGTCATGATATTCGTGTTGTGCTTAAGCAATGATGAAACTCAAATAGTTGGAGTTGATCATTATAGATAATACTAACTTATCGAATGATGAACCTTTTCTCTTTAAGCAATCAATTTATTTTAATGTTTTTTTATTAGTCTGTATTTAGACATGTACGTTGTTTTACTAGCTAAACATTTACATCTAGTATCTTACATATGTTACAAATTATTCAATTTATATATAAACTTATTATTTGAATCCCTCAATTCTCGATATCATATTATTCAGTTTATATAAATGTGAAATCCTTTTCAAAATCAGTTACCAGTTTGAGTTAGTTAATTAATAACAGCATCGAATGATTTCCATTCCAAACGATGATATTCACATTGTGATAACACTTTTTAAACTTGATCCATGTAGGTTATTGGGTGGAAAGTAAGAGAAATTCAATACTACATAGATTTAAATAGTCTTTCAATTTATATTTATGCATGATAAAAACTACATACTCATATGAAAGGGATCTCCAGATACTACTTAAATAAATCTAATGTCACCTTCTAAACATGACAATTTTGAGAAAATTCTTATAGTATGTATGGACTTTATCCGTATAAATCAAATTAGGTTTTTTACTCTATTACTGTGAGAAAATAACACTGAATAAATAAATTTCCACTTCCAGGATAACTAGAGGTGGAAATAGTAGTTTTCATAAACTATCAATGAATAGATGTTTAAATCATTCAAAATTGTTATACACCGTACATCTAACTTTCTTTAATGAAATTGTATTTATTAATTTGAGCAAAAATTAATTAGGCTTTAGTGTGAATTCTAATTTAGATGAAGAAATGTGACCCTATAAGTTTTTTGATTTGCCTTAACATTCTCATGTTTTCAGAGAAACACTATTAAAGTATATTTTTTAGAACGATAATAAGCAATGAGTAAGATCACCAAACTTTTGTACTTTAGATTTCTTTTAAGTTATTCAACAGAATTTAAGTAATAAATTTACAGTTCAAAGAAAGTTTTAAAATGTTAGTTTTTTTGTTTTGCTTGAAAAAAAGCAACCGTATCATTTGTATAGTAACAACATATTATATAAACTTTCAACCTATAGATAAAGTTAAGAAAGTTTAGTGAGTTTTAATTGACTACAGTTGATATCGACGGAGAATTATAACAGCTTCCACCACATCTCCAGATAGTCTATTTCGTTTAAAAATTGAACGAATCATTCTAACCTAGTCAGGTATCTTATATCCTTTTGAAGTACTTCGTAATCTGTGACCTTGTTAACTAAGTCATGTACGCTTTTACATGTTTGCTTTATGTACATCTGTCATCCATAAAGTAGTTAGTTATCAGCAAATTATGCATTATTCATTTCTATGTAAAGTATGAATCATCTATTATTCACTGAGTAGGCTTGTTTGCATTCTCCTATTTGCATCTCATGTCTTCATACTGTTTACGCATGAATTTCTGAAATGAAATTCTTTTATCTTAATTCACATTTGGCATTTATTACCATTGTTGCCTCACGGAATTAGCCCAAGTATAATATACGGAAGTAAATAGGAAATTTGTATTTTATTGTCAGTATGGAATTGTGGAGATTGTTGAGTTTTTGATTAAGATCATGAACTGATGAATGTTATACCATCATTGGAAACCTGGAGTCACTGGACGGCCATTTCATCCTAGTATGGAACATTAACACCGTTGTCTAGAGGTTCGGACGCGAGATCGAGTGTTTTGGGTTCGAATCCCTCAAATGGAATCATGGCTGTGCATTGCTGAGGAGTTCCGCACTAGGAAGAGACGGCCGTCCGGTGTTTCCAGATTTCTAATGTTGGTCTGACATTCATTAACTCATGGTGTCATCAAGAATTGTATTCAACTGTTCGATCTTTATCGTTTATAATGTATTTAGTTGTGTGCTACAGAACGAACAATTATAACAATTAATTTTGCATTCATTCATCGACTTAATCACGTGTGTAAATAACGGAATAATATATGTCAAATATGAACAGAAAATAAGAAACATGAACTAGATAAGCATAAACGTACCTACTCAGAACATTACTCGTTACAAGCTTTAATCTAATTCAAAATAGACAATCATTAGTACGACTAAGGAAACAGGAGCTGAATAAAATAAGAAATACACAGATACGCGCAACCAAATACAATATATATATATATATATATATATATATATATATATATATATATATATATATATATATATATAAGTATAAAGCTGAATCGCACACAAATAAAATAAACACATATGCTAAAGGGTATAACACCTTACGAATAGAACATCTTGTTGTGGAATATTCTCGTACATAAATCAACCTGAGAACCAATATTACTTCAATTTCCGGTCTTGTAAACTTTCCAGAAGGCAAAACGAAGTTGCGGCAACAGCTTATTTTAAACGTAGCTCAAATTAAGTGACTAGCACTCACATAATGCTAGAGACAATTGTTGGATGTAGTCTAAGAAGCCAATATATGAGGGCGTGTAAATAAATCTTCGAGCGTTTTAAGCAATATTTCAGCTTGTAAAACAAATATATGCATAAGCTGTCACATGCGACCAATCAAACATATGCATTTGCACAAAAATGAATATATGAATATGAAGATACAGGTGAATCATTACAGATCATAATAGCATTGTATGTCTGCTAAATACGTTAACTAAAGAGACTGGTTTATTTAAATATATATCACCTCATGTGAGGGTGAAGGCATAATGAGTTGTTAGGAAAGTGAGAACGGCTCAGGAGTCAAAAGGTATCTGAATTTTTAATGTATGACTGAGAGCTAGGATAAGCTTACAGGCGTTATTATTATAGAAGTTATGGTTAGAGTACCGATAGCTGAGTTAACACCCAATATCCTTCTCTTTTAGGAAAATTATAAGGAAGCGTTCGCACTACATTTTATCTCTGTATATTGTAGACAAGTAAAATAATTTTGCGGTTAAGATTATATTAAGATAGTTCTTAAGCAAGTGATAGATTATGAGCAATACCATCATAATTGTTATAATATTTTCTTGAAACATTGTGGTGAGTTTGACATGGAAATTTATGACAGTAGAACACTTTCATCATTGCTTTTAAAACTCTCACTAGTCAGTGCTAGCTATTATTTTGAATGCATTCGTTTGATCTATGGGAGATCTAGAAAGAACGAAACGGATGTCAGTACGCCTTCACAAAAGCCTAATTTGGTGTACATTTAAATTATTGTTGCAGACATAAGTTTTTATTGCCTTGTTATTAGAAAAAATTGTAGCGGGAAATAAATCCCCAAAACGAATAGTCCTTCAAGTCTTCGACACTGATTCTGATCTCAGTAGTTTTACTGGACTCACCCCTAATGAGGGCGCTCAGTCACGCATTCTCACGAGATCACAAGTGTGTAGGTCGTGCTACGAATTTCTCGCATGTACTAATCAACTTACACCAAACGCTTATCAACTTATCGACAACCTCCCAAATATATCTTCTAACTCATTCATTTTTGACTTCTGAATTGATTGGGTTGGAATCCTTTGATTATAAAGGCATTACGGACAAGAGCGTTGTCAAATCTTGAGTATCTGAGGTACATACTTTGTGTTACTTGAAATTAGCTGTTTCTTTGAATACATCCCTGATCATATCCTTTGGTTTTACATAACTGTTTTATTGATACAGACTAATGATTCCTTTGTACTTCACTACCCACTAATTACCAACTCCTAGTATAATAAGTTCATTTGTACTCATCTAGTTCTACCTGCCTTAAATTGAATTACTTCGGGGATTCTCAGTAAGCACATTGATTTGAACACTTTCAATTTTCAAATGGAGACAAAAGTAGCTAAAAATAATCAACTACCCATACTAGATGATGTTTTCACTGATTACTCTTCCTCAGAAGTTAAACGTTCAGTTATCTCCGCGTACAACAAAATGCCATGTTTTTACTAACCATTATTGCCTACATTTTACATGACTCCGAGAACATTATATTATAGATTTGGACACTGGTGTCGTTTATCTCTAACCTATCCGAATCCTCTTCACGTTATTAAGCAGTAGAGGTTATTATTTTCTCCATACATACAGGCTATTTTTGAAAGCGTTCTGAGAACGTACGTTTGTGCAGGCATATATGACGGCAGTTTGGTATTGCTAAATTATGAGTGGAAGACACTACGTAATAATTTATCAAAGTGAAATTCAAACGGTTCATTAAAAGTTTGAAGAGAAGAATAGCACATAACCTTTAATTCCAAAATGTACTGTTTTTCAAGTCTGTATATTGAAGCTATTTTGAGGAGAGTAGGAGTAGTTATTTTTTGTTTAAAAAGTTTGTTTCGCCAGACCAGACTTAGTTCTGAGATATGTAGTTAGGTTTTGGATTTGGGTTTCTGATATGAACTTCAAACTTACTTGACTTGATAACAGAAAATATTATGGCCTACATAAATGAATGATGCAAGCCATCAGCTATGTTCATTTTGAGCCGTCTGAAAAGCCCTGGTTGCCAGATAAGTGTGGTTTCTCTGATAACTGATAATTTCCGCACTCCATGGTTCAAATTTTAAATATAAACTTTCGAATGTGCCCATGGAATTCTCCTTGGCTTAGTTACTGTTACATACGCGACTACTACAGTGAAAATTAGACAGCAGGCGTTGATAGTCAACATACTGAAATCAATTTCTTCTGGCTATAACAACAAGGCGAATGGGTTGATAGTGGAGCTAAACATAATTTATAACAGAACCGAAAATAATCGTCAATCTAAAATAAGGTTTTTAAAAATGCGCACTATTTAACGACGATAAGTGATGCTCAAATTTTTAAACGATTTATGAGTGTATGTAAGTATTTTCTCATGCGTTTGCCACTACCAAAACGCCTGCAGCTCTCCCAGAGTTACTGCCGGTCCCAAGCCCACACAAAGTAGAAGGGTTGGGCATGGCGTAGCCAACCCCAACTCGTAGAAAAAAGTCGCCTTAAAAAGGGCAACCAGAATAAAAAAATTAAACCATTTAAACTCTGC